CTGTGACTTCACTCTCAAAAGAAATCTGTTATTTTTATATATCACGTTAGAGTGGTTGCAGACATCTCAAAATATTGTTTATACTCATTATGACTTTGAAATTATGGTAACTCTGGAGCCTGCTGTTAGACTCTCTTTAGCTGTTTGTTTGTTTTAAGATTTTATTTATTTAACAGAGAGAGACACTGAGAGAGCATGAGCAGGGGGAGTGGCGGGCAGAGCGAGAGGGAGAAGCAGAAGCAGGCTCCCCACTGAGCAGGGAGCCCAATACAGGGTCCACCCCAGGACCTTGGGATCATGACCTGAGCTGAAGGCAGGTGTTTAACCGACTGAGCCACCCAGCCACCACCTCTCTTTAGCCGTCAAGGAAACTGCTAGGGCAGAAAGAATATTTCACAGTTTGTGTGGCTGTCGTGAGAGGCACTAGCAGGTCCCTGACTGCGGGACAGTGTTGGACTGCTGCCAGCTGCACTGTGCTCGCCAGGCCTCTCTCGCAAGGGCTGTTCCTGCTGCTGGCTGAGGACCTTGGGGGCCATGAAGGCTGGGTTGCTCTTGAGAGGACTTCCTCTGGCTTGAGGCTTCCCCAAGGCCTCCAGGTGCTTCTCTTCCCCCCCCTCTCCCCCTCACTGGGGTCTGACAACTGTCCCAGCTCTCCCCATTCCCTCCCCCTATTCCTTCCAGGCAGAACTGGCATGTTCAGTCTTGCCTTGGCATCTGTTTCTCAGAGGACCCAGATTGTTTGTTTAACTGTTTTTCAATATAGTTGTTTCCTTTTATAATAAGATTCCTCTATCCTTTCAAAGACATTGTTTTGTGGGGTGCCTGGGTGGCTCAGTTGGTTAAGTATCTGTCTTCTCCTCAGGTCATGATCCTAGGGTCCTGGGATAGAACCCCACATCGGGCTCCCTGCTCAGAAAGGAGTCTGCTTCTCCCTCTCCCTCTGCTGCTGCTCCCCCTGCTTTCTCTCTCAAAGAAAGAAGAAAGGGAAAAAAAAGAAGGAAGGAAGGAAGGAAGGAAGGAAGGAAGGAAGGAAAGCAAGCAAGAAAGAAAGCAAGAAAGAAAGAAAGAAAGAAAGAAAGAAAGAAAGAAAGAAAGAAATCTTTTTTAAAAATAAAAATAAAAATACTATTTTGTGACAGAGTGAAACACTATTTCCACCAGATGCCAAAGATACCCAAGACATGAGAACCGTTCAGAACCCCTGCCCTCTTGTTTGGGCTCCTGTTATTTGGGGTTTCTGTTACTTGTTGCCCAAAGCATCCCCCAAATCTTAGAAGATTGCAGTGCAAAGGTTTGAGAAGCTCTGATGGCGTAAACTTGATAAACAGAATGTTAAATTCTGTTCTTCTTTTCTTACAATTTGGACAGAGGCCGCCCGAGCCAGGAATAGCCTAGTGGTTGCCCAGGATGCTCATGGCCCTGAGTGAAGTGTTGAAACCAGACACAGAGGGACTGGGGGACAGGCCTCCCGGACTGATGCACAGGCTGGGGCCCTGACAACCAGCACCTGCCTCCCAGACATATGAGGGAGGCTAGACCAGCAAAGGTGGTCCCATGGTCTGGCTCCTTCTTACCTCCTGCCAACCCAGAGGGCCTGAGCTGGTAGGAGGGGAGAATGTTCAGATGGAAAAGAAGTTCGGATCGATGCAATTTTTACATCACCTGGGCTTTTAAATGGCAAACCTAAGGGCTTGTTTATATGCTCTGAGAGTGATCGCAGAGCTCTGAGCTAGGCTGGGGCTCAGCTCTGTGGGAAGAGGGGTCCCTGAGGATGGATGGCATAGAGGGGACGATGCTGCTCATTCCCTTCTGAGTCCAACTCGCCCCCTCATCGCCCCTGCTCTGCTGCCACTGGAGAGGCCCTAGGGGCCCTAGGGGACTGTGCAGAGGAGATGGCCGGAGGGAAAAGGCAGGTCAGTGGCTGCCCTCACGGCCCCACCTCGGCAACTATGTGAAAACTCTTGTGTGTGGGCGCGCAAGGACACAATAGCTCCCAGAGACAGGCCTTGTGGGAAGAGTGGGGACGTTGGGGATTTTTTCCCTCTATTTTCTAAATTTGGAGTATTGTCCTATTTTTTCTTCTTTTTTTACATTTTCCCCATCCCAAAGGAATCCAAACAATAGGATCCCAGAACTCGAGCTCAGAGGTTCAGGGTTCTGCTACTCTGAAGAACCCTGGCTGCTATACTGGGGAACGTGTTAGAAAAGCAAATTCTTGGGCACCTGAGTGGACATCCAACTCTTGGCTATGGTTCAGGTCATGATCTCAGGGTCCTGGGATTGAGCCCCATGTCGGGCTCCCCGCTCAGCAGGGGAGTCTGCTTCAGGATTCTCTCTCCCTCTGCCCCTCCCTCAGCTCTCTCTGTGCCAGCACACACACTCTCTCAAATAAATAAATAAATCTTAAAAAAAAAAAGAGGAGGAGGATCCCTGGATGGCTCAGCGGTTTAGCGCCTGCCTTTGGCCCAGGATGTGATCCTGGAGTTGGGGGATAGAGTCCCATGTCGGGCTTCCTGCATGGAGCCCGCTTCTCCCTCTGCCTATGTCTCTGCCTCTCTCTGTGTTTTTCATGAATAAATAAATAAAAATCTTAAACAAACAAACAAAAAAAAAACAAAGGAATACAAATTCTTAGACCCCACACCAGGCCTACTGAATCAGACACTGAGGGATGGGGGTAGGAGGGCTTAATAAGCTCTCCAGGAAATTCTGATGCACTCTCAGGTTTGAGAATTACGCCTCTACAGTCTCACAACTCAAAGTGTGGTTCACGGACCAGCAGCAAGGGCCTCACCTGGGAGGGGTCAGAAATACAGACTCTCAGGCCCTACTTGGACCTGCTGCATCAGCCTCTGCCTTTAACCAGGTGCCCAATGGGTACATTCGTGTTTGGGAAGTGCCGACCTGGTGCTTTCCAGGGGCAGGGGAAGAGAAGGTGTTGCCTGGACTCTTGGAAATCCCAGGAAAAATGGTCAAGGACTGGACACCTAAGTGCCAAACCCTTTATATAACTTGTATAACTCATGTATAGAACATTTATTGCTTCACTGGATTCTCTCCCGATCCCCTCAGGTAGGTAGACTGGTTACTTCCACTTTACCTACAGGTGAGGACGCAGACTTAGAGGGGTGGAGGAACGTGCTCTGGGTCAGACGGCTCTTAAGCGGCGAGGACAGAGTTAGAGCCCAGATCACCCACTCTCTGCACCCCGCACCCCCAGATAGGGTGACGCAGCTCTGCAGGGGCGAGAACACACTCGAGCAGCCAAGATGCCTCCTCTTAATTACAGCCGTCTTGTGTCTGCCTCTAACAAAGGCCTTGGGCTGGGAAAGGAATCAACTTAATATGCGATTGCTCTTCCCAATTAGCACAAATTACCATTTGTCTGGGAGGATAATGCTGGGAGCTGGAACCGCCATGTGGGTTGCAGTTCTCTTCTGCCTAACCCCCTCCCCTCTGGCTGTAGAGAAGGGGGTGCAAGCCTCCCCTGGGGCCTCACCAGGGACAGGAGCAGGACGCCCCAGGGAAATATTGCCTGGGACCCAGTTGGGAGCATCCAAATAGTTTTTTCGTCTGCCGTTCTGAGCACCTGTGCTATTGGCTAAATATGCAACGGCCAACAGTGGCCCTAAGTCCCCAGCTGCACAAGGAAGGCTGCCCCCCTCTTTGCTCCCCACAGCTCCCTTCCTGGGGCCTGGCACATTCCCAAACTCGGAAAATAGCAGGGAGCTTTGATGATGCCATTTGAGGCTCTGGTGGCTTTGTGGTGAGAAACCAGCCCTGACTCAAGGAAGAATAGAGAGGCTGGTAATGACTCTGCCACCCTTGCCCTCCACTCAGTTTCTTAATCCCTGATGGGCTACCTCTGGATGCAAGGCCTCTGTGCATGCAGTTCCTCTTCCGGATGCTCTTCCCTACCTCTGCCCTTCTCCAGACTGACCCTTCTGCATCCTTCAGGCCACAGCCAATACTAATTCTTTTATTTTTATTTATTTATTTATTTATGATAGTCACACACACAGAGAGAGAGAGAGGCAGAGACACAGGCAGAGGGAGAAGCAGGCTCCATGCACCGGGAGCCCGACATGGGATTCGATCCCGGGTCTCCAGGATCGCGCCCTGGGCCAAAGGCAAGCGCCAAACCGCTGCGCCACCCAGGGATCCCTACTAATTCTTTTAATAATAATAACTGTAGCAGCTGTCATTTATGGAGTGCTTAACGTGACCTCTACCTGCATTAATTCACTTAATCACACAAGAGCATTATAAAGCAGGTACTTCAGTCTCACTTTGCAGATGGGGAAACTGGGGCACAGAGAAGTTAAGTAATCTGCCTGAGGTCACACAGCTAGTAAGTGGTAGAGGCTGTATTTGAACCAAAGTGTTTGGTCTCAGAGGCCAGTGCCCCTTCAGCAAAGCCTGCTTGGCAGCAGAGAGCCTCCTACTGACACTTAGCACAGCTCTACTCACACAGATGTCTCTGTGTTGTCTGCACCCAAGGAAGGCAGAGACCCACTTCCCACGTGCTGAGGGCCTAGGTCTAGGTCTGGCACGCAGCAAGTGCTCAGTGAGTATCTAAGGAAGGTTTGAATAAATGGGTCTCAGTCTCCTCATCTTTAATAGTTCCTCCCAAGGGCCGTCCTGAGAACCAAGCAGGGCAAGTAACGTGCTTGGCATGACCTGGCCACCACCATCTCACTCATGTCAGAAGAGAGGTGGGGATCTGAGCTCTAGCATGGCTCTGGATTCCCTGCCCTGGCTCCTGGGGATCACTCATTCACCTGGTAAACATGTATTGAGCATCTAATGTGTACCAGCAGTCAGGGCTGGGTGCACATACTGCAAAGGAATGGAGATGAAGTCAGCCCTTGGGAAGAGGCAGATGGTGCATCGAAGGCAGAAAAGCCAGGCAGAGTTATGAAGGAGCCCTGCTCCGTCTGGTGCCTGGGAAGGCCTCCCCCCACAGCCCCCACCCCCTGCTCCCGGCACTGAGCGCTCACAGGCTTCATGATCCAAGTGATTCCTGGGTTTTTGCGGAACTCCTCCACGAACAGGTGGTACTCGCATGGCATCTCGAAGGTTTTGGGGAAGAAGTCGCACTTGGCCGCCTCCAGCTTTCCCGCCTCACGCTCCAGCTGTTTCCGGAATCGCTTCAGGTTCTTCACCATGTAGTTCTTGCGGGTCAGCTGGGCAGCGGGGTGGGTGAGCAAGCTTGTGCCCACTGCCCTGCTCCACCTTCCAGCCCAACCAGCCCAACTGGCCCCCACAGCCTCTGGCCCACAAAATAACAATCACAGTAAGAGTAACTTTGAGAGCCTGCTGTTGGATACTTATCCTTACTTTACAGATGAGAAAACCAAGAGTCAGAAAGGTTAAGTCAGTTGCCTGGAGTCACCCAGCTTAAAGGAGGCACAGCCGGGATTTGACCCAGACCCGTCTGACTCCAAAGTTCATGTTTCTAACTGCTAAGCTGCACTAGCCTTTTCAAATCTCAGCATCATTGGCTCTTCTGGTCCCATCTCTGCGGTCTGGTTCTTCCCAAACCTCCCTCCCATCTCTAGGCTCTCAGTTGCTCAACCTGTCTCTCCTCTGGAATCACCAGATGGCTCAAACATCCTGCTCCTGCGGGCCTCACCCCACACATCTCTAGTGCTGAAATGCCAACCAGACTGTGACCTCAGTCCCCACCACCGCAGACAGCCTGTTGTTCGGGTACTAGATCCTTATTCTCTCACACTCCTAGATCATCATGTATCTTATATACATGTTCCCCACCTGGCATGTACCCCAAATTCTCTTACATTTTTCTATTCTGGTCCTTGCACTCCCACACCAGCCCCTGCTCATGGCCACATCCAGTGATGTGATTTGGCTGACTCAGTCCCCCAGCCTACCCAGCTCACCTCATAGTGGTTTCGGAAGTGACTGATCCGCACGTGCTCGTCCATGTAGGTGTGGTCAAAGTTCTCCCGGAGCCAGCTGACATCACACCAGTAGAAATCCCACTCTCCTTCACTGCGGGTGGGTGGGACAAAGGTCACCACATGAGGACTTCAGCATTGCTGGGGGTCTGGGGCCCAGCGAGGTAAAGCGGAGGCGCAAGCAGCAGTATGTTCATGAGGAGTCTTAAGGCGATGGCTGCCTACAATGTGCTTTGTGGGGCCAGAGTGAGAACTAGAGAAATGTTCCTACACAAATCCAGGCTGATCAACTGATCAGCTGCACAGAGCCCTGATGCCTCCTGGGCGCCCATTAGCTGGAGTGAGGAGCACACCCTCTCCAGATCACTGTCCCCACCACATTCTATGGCCCATGACAACTAGCCAACCTCACCTGATCATGTTACCTGACTGGGTGCTGGAAGCATCTGTGTTGCCACCCCCAGCCCACATTACCAAGCAGTGCAATTAGGTAACATTTGCAAGCCCTTCCCAGTCCAAAAAGCCCTCTCTCATTGACTCGTCAGAGCAGCCTCAAAAAGTGACAACAATCATCCCTGGAGCCCTCAGATGAGGATGATGCTACTCACTGAGGCCATGGCAGCATCAGTATTCTTACCCAGGTCTGCCTCACCCCAAATTCTGACCTGGTTTTTCACCACCATACCAAAGAGGGGGACAGGAAGCCAGGCTAATCTGTCAAATCTGATGCCACAGCTGTGGTGCAGAGAGGAAGTGCTTGAAATATATGTGGCATATATAAAACGGCGCCACCATGATTGCTTCCAACATTTTCTTTCTTTCTTTCTTTCTTTCTTTCTTTCTTTCTTTCTTTCTTTCTTTCAAAAGATTTTATTTATTCAAGAGAGACAGAGACATAGGCAGAGGAAGAAGCAGGCTCCCTGCAGGGAGCCCAATGCGGGACTCGAACCCAGGACCCCAGGATCACGACCTGAACCAAAGGTAAATGCTCAACCACTGAGCCACCCAGGCACCCCTCAACATTTTCTTTTTTTTTTTTAAAGATTTTATTTATTTATTCATGAGACACACACACACACACACACAGAGAGAGAGAGAGAGAGAGAGAGAGAAGCAGAGACACAGGCAGAGGGAAAAGCAGGCTCCATGCAGGGAGCCTGATGTGGGACTCGATCCTGAGACTCCAGGATCACAACCTGGGCCGAAGGCAGGCGCTAAACTGCTGAGCCACCCAGGGATCCCCCCTCAACATGTTCTTAAGTAAAAAATGACAGCTGTAACTGAAGCCCCATGTGGACGAGACTAGACTCCAGTACCAGGCAGTAGGAATCATGGATTCCCCCATACACTCATTTGTTTCCTTATCCACAGACAGGCTGCTAGAACAGGGTGGAGACAAGCCTGGGACTCTGCACCCAGACTGACCAGGTGCAGTCCTAGCCCAAGCCCTGACTAGCCAAGTCAAGTGACCTCACACACGGCATTTTTAACTCTTCTGTGTCCAGTTTTCCGACTTTCAGTAAATGGGTACAATAATAGCACCTCCCAGAAGATCTGCTGAATGATTCAGGGGTGATGCAAGTAAAGTGCTAAAGAGAGTCTAACAGGCTTAGCTATTGTTAAGCAACAATACTTACTGAGTACAATGTCAGGGCAGCTGCTTGCTCACGCCCCTCATATCTATCCTCTCCCTACAGTAATAGAACTCCTGACATTTAGGGTTGCCTGGGTGGCTCAGTCGGTGAAGTGTCTGACTTCAGCTCAGGTCATGATCTCTCAGGGTCCTGGGATCAAGACCTACATCGGGCTCCCTGCTCAGTGGGGAGTCTGCTTCTCCCTCTGCCCCTCTCCCTGCTCATGCTCTCTCTCTCTCTCTCTCTCTCTCTCTCTCTCTCTCTCTCCTGTTCTCTCTTTCTCAAATAAATAAAATCTTTAATAAAAATAATAAAGATTTCCTGACATTTAGCTGGGACAATGTAATCCACATTTTCCAAAATAAAGATTATATATTCCAGATTCTTTGCAGCTAAGCTAAGTTCTGGCCAATGTGAGAGACTTCTAGACTGTGCTCTTCAAGGGCAGGGGATGCATTTTCTTGCCTTCTTCCAACCTACTGTTGCTTGGACTCTGGATGTAATGGTGGAGCTTTACCCTAGACCCTGATGACAAGGACCTCACTGACAGGATAGCAGAATGGAAAGATGGAAGTGGATGGATCCAAATTTCTATACTGTCTTGTCTCTGAACTTCCTACATCTGAACTTCAATGGGAGACAAAAATAACTTCCAGTTTGTCAAAGCCTCTTTTACTTTGGGTCTCTGTTACATGCATCCAAATCTTAACCCTAACTTACGTTAGCACCTACTATTGGATTGGTATTGGATGGATGCTTGTTCATTGGATGCTTGTTCATCTCAGTATCCCCAGGGCCTAGCATAGAAGAAGAAATATAGGCTTGCGGTCAAGTAACTTGTTCAAGATCACAGAACTAGTAAGTAACCAGGAAAGAGCAGCCCTTGACCTGGACCTGCCATCACTAGAGTCAAGCCAGCTAGTGGGTGATGGCTGCGTTTCTTGATTCTGGAGAGCTCTAGAACACTGCCTGTGGAATAGTCCAATAGAACTGAATGTGAACCCCACTCTGACTCTTATGTTCTGTGTGACCTTCAACAATTGACTTAATACATCTGAACATAATCATATCTTACAGGATGGTTGTAAGGCTTAAAAAGACAGAGGGTGTCCATAAGACACCTGATACATTTTGAGTCCTAAATAAATGTTGGTCCCTTTGCACAAGTCCCAATAGCCACCAATGGGAACTGGGAGAAAACAGAGGGAGACAAGGACCTGTGAGGCAAAGGGAAGGAGGGACGAGGTTGGCAGGGGCTGGGGAGGTGTCTTACTCCTTTACTTCCACCCATCCTGGCCTGTGGCGAAGGACATCCATGAGAGTATTCATGAGAGTGGTCTTGAACCGGATTGATGCTCTCTGCTCTCTGCAAGAAAGGCAACAGAACGCTTGCTCAGGATCACACAAAAACCTGTACCAGGATGTTCGTAGCAGCCTTATTCATAATAGCCCCAAACTGGGGCACCTGGAATGCTCAGTGGTTGAGTGTCTGCCTTTGGCTTGGGTCGTGATCCTGGGATCCTGGGATGGAGTCTCACATCAGGCTCCCTATGGGGAGCCTGCTTCTCCCTCTGCCTATGTCTCTGCCTCTCTCTGTGTCTCTCATTAATAAATAAATAAAATCTTAAAAAAATAATAGCCTCAAACTGGTAACAAACCCAGATGTCCTTCAACAGGTGAATGGTTAAATAGTGGTCTATCCATATCACGGAATACTAGTTAGCAATAAAAATGTGAAATATGGGATCCCTGGGTGGCGCAGCAGTTTGGCGCCTGCCTTTGGCCCAGGGCGCGATCCTGGAGACCCCGGATTGAATCCCACGTCGGGCTCCCGGTGCGTGGAGCCTGCTTCTCCCTCTGCCTGTGTCTCTGCCTCTCTCTCTCTCTCTCTCTGTGTGTGACTATCATAAAATAAATAATAAAAAAATGTGAAATATTTATACATTCAACCTGGATGCATCTCTAGGGAATTATGTCAAGTGAAAAATGCCAATCTCAAAAGGTTATTGTAATACTGTACAATTCCACTTATATAACTTTTTAAAATAACAAAATCATTGAAATGGAGAACAGATTAGCAGTTGCGGAGCATTAAGGACAGGGTGAGGGTGGAACTGTGGGAGAAGGCAGAAGGAGAAGGAGGGAATGGGTGTGGCTATGAGGGATCCTTGTGGGTGGCCTTGGGAATTTTCCTTACAGATGTCAATATCCTGGTTGTGATACTCTACTGTATAGTTTTACTCTCTGTTACCATTGGGGGAACCAAGTACAGAGCACACGGGATCTCACTGTATTATTTCTTACAACTGCATAGGAATCCATGATTCTCAAAGTCAATATTTAATTAAAAAAATTTAACACACCTTTGGAAATCTGGATAATGGCTACTTTTGGGGGGGGGGAATGATTGGGAGAGGGCATGAGTGGCATTCTGGGGTGTTGGTGATTTTCTGTTTCCTAATGTGGGTATACTTAGTTGATGAAAATTCATTGAGCTGAAAAAAAAAAGCAAATTCATTGAGCTGTAAAGTTATGATGTATGCACATTTCTGTAGGTAAACAGAATTCTGTAACAAAGTATACCACAAATAAAGTTAAAGGACTGATTATAGATTAAGATAAAATATTTGCAATACTTACATTCCATAAGACTTTAGGACCAAGTACATAAAGAGATCCTACAAATCATTAAGAAAAAGACAAAGAACTCAATAGAAAAATGCCTAGGGGATATGAACAGGCAATTCACAGCAGGGGAAACTTACTAATACACACATGTAAAGATCCTCAACCTTCCCAGCAATCAAGTAAATTAAAATACCAAGGAGAGGATTTCTGCTTCAGGTCACAATATGAAAGGATGTGAAAGATTTTCAGTCCTACAGTAACAACAAGGGAAAAAATGTGCAAAATAGATATCACACTTGACTATGGGGCTAGTGGAGAGCAATGGACAAAAGAAAACTTGAACTCATTCTGGAGAGAAAGAAGCCTTTCGTGAGGGAGCAGGGAGATACAGCATTTTCTAGGTTTGGGGAGTATCTGAGTATGGGCAAGTGGAGGAATGAGCCAGCTGTGGAGAAAAGACTTTGCAGGCTCCAGGAGAAAGCAGCTGACCTCAGGCAATACATAGGGTGGCCAAACAAATCAAAATCTGAAAGAGCCCCATTCCAAAACCAAACCAAACCAAAACAACATTGCATTAAATTTGCTTGAGAAAAAAGCCCATAGAGAACACAGTAAAGCTGAGAGAAAAACCATGCACATTGATGGGGTGTGTGTACTGGCAGCGTTGAGTACAAAAGTGAACCAAAAAAAAAAAAACCACAATAAACAAACAAAATCCCAAACTGCCCTCTAACCCCCTCACAGAGCAAAAGCTCAAAACAGCAGTACAGGGGGTTGTGCTTGGAGTGAACTCAGTGTAACTAAAGCTTCAGTCCAGTCCATGTTCCACTCAGCTTTAGGAGGAATCAGATAAGCAGCTCCCAACCTACTAGTCAGAGGAAAGGGTTTACAATCTCTGGAAAATCAATCTCTCTCTCTTCACACATTAGTCCTTTTGTAGGTCTGAATCTCCATCTGGTATAATTTTCCTTCCGCCTGAAGAATTTTCTTTAGTGTTTAAATACATGACAAAAACAACAGCAAAAAGGACCAGAGGGGAGTAAATAGAGCATGCTGTTCTAGGGTTCTTGTGTTGTGCAGGAAGTGGTACAATACTGATTCCTAATAGACAGTGATGAGTTGAGGATGCATAGTGTTAATATGCACCTAGAATAGTGATTCTTGATGAGTGGTCCCAGTATTCCTCAGGGTCCCCAACCCTTTTTCAGAAGTACACAAAGTTCTCTCTTTTCCAACTACATATCTTTGTGAGGCTGGATTTTCTTCCCGTTCTTCAACTGAAACAACGTATCACAACAGATTGAATCCAGAAGATTTGGAAAGCCAAATGTTTTCTATTGAGTCAGACATTAAAGAAATTCACAAAAAGTGTAAAAACAATTACTACTCATTTTAGTAAATTTGGGGGAGGGAGAATACAGTTAAAGTTCATAAAAATAGGGGCACCTGGGTGGCTCAGTCAGTTAAGCATCTGCCTTACGTTTGGGTCATGATCTCAAGGTCCTGGGATTGAGTCTGGCATCGGGCTCCCTGCTCAGCAGAGAGCCTGCTTCTCCCTCACCCTCTGGCTGCTGCTCTCCCTGCCTGTATTCTCTCTCTCTCTCTCTGTCAAATAAATAAATAAATAAATAAATAAATAAATAAATAAATAAATAAAATCTTTTTTTAAAAGTTCATAAAAATACATTATTTATGCTACCAGGTAGAGTACACCCTTGCTTTTTAAATGAATTAATATTTTTAATTTATCACTTTAAATTTCTAATATGATATTGACAATATTTCTAATATGATATTGACACAAAAATTAATGAGTCCACAATAATTTTTAAGTAGTAAAGAAATCCTGGCCTCAAATGTTAAGAACCACTGCTCTACAGTAGTAAAGTAAGGAGCATTTAAAACTTAATCCAAAACAATGAAGAGATACAATTTCAAAATCCATCAGATTGGGGAAAATGTTTAAAACCAGACAAATACCAAGCATTTGCAAGAATGTGGAAATGATAATTATCTTATAATACTAATGGAACTGTAAATTGGATAAATCTTTAGAGAGCAATTTGGCATATTAAAACTGTCAGGTACTATTCATACACATTAGACTGGCAAAAATCTAAAAGTCCAAGTTTGGCAACAATGTGCTAAAATTGGAAATTCTTCTCCTGCTGGTAGAAGGCACTTTGGAAAACTACATGACAGTATTTAGTAAAATTGAATTTGCATACTCTATACCTGGCAGTTCCATCCTAGCTCTGTACTCAAGATAGATACCTTATGTATGCACTGGGCAGGGATGCTCATTTATAACTATCAATATTTTTTTATGGAAATAACCTACAGCACACAGTTGGTGGTCCACCTTTGTCCCTTGGGCATTCTCCATTCCTGTGCAAGTCAATCAGAGGGCTTTCCACTGCCAGCACTTGCAACTTTTTGCCTGAGGACTTTTTCTGGCTCCCAGAGTCTGCTCAGCCAGTGCTTAAAGCAGATCCAAAGTCCCCTCCCCCAACAGCACACAACCAGTGACAACTGGAGGTGATGGATTAATCTTCCAGTTCCTCATCGCCCACCTGGGATAAGTCTGCAGTGTGTTCTGTGCTAGCTCCTAGGAATCCCCAGATTGAGCCCCACCTGCCCACCACAATAACCTGTCAGTAATGTACCTTTTATTGGTTTCTTTCCCTTAGCTGTCTCACATCCTCATTTCCCTGCCAATGCTTACTGGAATCACCTTCTGACCTTCCAAATAATCTGCTCTCACATCCTTGTTTCAAGGCTTGCTTCTGGAGGAAATCAATACTAAGACAAAACCTAAAGGGCTTTCAACAGGAAGTAGATAAATAGCTAGTGGTATACAATGGGACACATATAGTAGTTAAAATGTGTCCAGACTTGCATGCACCAACATGAATACTGAAAATATAATTTTATGTGACAAAAGCAGCATGTAGAATAATAACATAACATCATCTATGTAACTTATATTCCTAGTCTCGTGCAGCTAGAGGTGTCCATGTGACACAATTCTGGTCAGTAAGATAAAAATGTAAGATTGCTCAAGAGGGTGGGTCCTTGGAAAGCATTGGTTCTTTTGATTAAAATAAAGAGAAAGAGATGTGGCTTGAGACTTCCTTCCTCACTTCTTCCCATCTTGATCTCAACATGAGGGCTGGAGCTGTAGCAACCCTTTGGGTGTCCATAGGGAAAAGATCAATCAAGAGAATCACAAGGGCACTAACTCTGACAGTGTTGAACCACTGCACCAGTCTTCCAGATTCTTTGTTACATGAGGAAATTTAATACAATTTTTTTAAAGCTACTACTAGTTGGGTTTCCTATTACTCATAGATAAACACATTTCTAATTGGTGTCTGGACTAATAAAACATATCCTGGTAACTGAAGTGCCCTTTTTTTTTTGGTTAGAGCAGGCACAGGTGTCTAAGTGTAGGATCAGCATCTGGAAGAGTGCTGAATTGCTCTGATGTGTGCTGTATGAGGGAAGGGTCAGAGACCACGCATGCCCTCCTCAGTGGCAGTGTTGCCAGATGTGACTTTAGAGAGAAATATTGAATGAAATAGAATAGAAATATCTAAAATATGTGTCACAGTGTATGCGATGTAACCTCCTCTGACTCCCTACAAAAATACTTCAGGAAAGTCTACATTGCTCTCTCCTGCTCTGTATGAGTAGATTCCATTTAGTGGATCCAATGAGGTGCTGAGTTCTGCACCCAGGATACTGCTGCAGAGGGAAGCAGAGGACCAGGGCAGAGTTGACATTGGAGTGATCATGTCATCATGTGGTTGTTGAAGGAGCAGGGGCATGTAGATACCATGGCCCTGGAGCCCAGCTGGCACTAATGAACTATGTCTTGAGTAGTTATGAGGAGCAGGGCATAGATAGATACCACATGGGCCCTGGAGCCCAACAGGCTCTGGCACTAACTGAACCTATAGTCTTGAGTAAGTTACCTAGCCTCTCTGAGCTTCAGTTTTCCCATCTGACCCAAAAGTAATGTCTACTTTGAAGGATTGTGGTAAGGACTCAAAAAGATTATACAGGTCAAATGACTAGTCTGGCACATGGTAAGTGCTCAGTGGTCATTTATTATTATTATTATTATTATTATTATTATCATTATTGAAGTAAAGAAGGAGTAGAAAGATGGAAAAAGGAAAGAAGGAAGTAAGTTAGTTCTGTATTTATTAGATTGCATGGGACCACTCACCGTTCTTTTCCCTTTGACAGTCCATGGCCCTTGTAGTTTTGATTCTGCAAGGAGAAAAAGAAAGTGATGTAATTTGTTCTGCATATCCACCCTGCCTTCCCAGCTCAATTTACTGCAGATATTAAAAGGCTCAAACCATCATATGCAACATTGCCCAATTCCTGAGACATGAAACAGCCTGGCCAAGTTCACACTGGTCAGCATGTGCCCACCAACTTGGTCCTTGGAATAAGTCTCCAAGTGTTCAAGGACCCACCTCACAGGATTGTTCCACAGGCATGACTTAGCTTTCAGTGCTCCAAAGGTCCAACCCTGAACCCCAGTTTTGAGGGCTGAGTTCAGCAGGCTCTGTGAGAAGGAACTGAAACTTGAATGTTTGACTAGATCCATGGTCCAGAAGGGGACTGGGTCAAAGACTCAGAGCGAAGTTAATTTCTTCCACCCAAAATGGACCGTTCAAATACTCAGTGGGGTGTGGGTATTATTTTGCTTCTACCATTCCTTTAGTCCTGGGAGACTGATCCCTAATGGCAGGAATGAAAAAAGAAATCAAAATTGGTCTTGTGCAGGATGACCAATGCAACTTGGACAGATTTGTCATCTACATTATTTTTCTATTACTGCATAACAAATTGCCACAAACTTGATGGCTTAAAATAATACAAATTTATGTCTTGCAATTTCCATTGGCCAGGAGTCTAGGCATGGCTTAGCTGGATCTTCTAGCCAGGTCTCACAAGGCCACAACCAAGGTGATGGCCTGGGTTATGGTTCTCGTACATGGGCTTGGGGTCTTTTTCCAAGGTCATTTTAGATTGTTGGCAGAGTTCAGTTGCTTGAGGTTGCCAGACTGATTTATTTGCTTTTACTGTTTACTTGCTAGCTGTTGACTGGGGACTGCTCTCAGCAACCAGAGGCCACGTGCAGTTCTTTTCAACATGGCCGCCTAGGCAATTCACAACATGGATGTTTGCTTTCTTCCAGGCCCAGCAGGAACTCATTTCTCTGACTTCCAACCCTCCCCACTCCAAGTCAGCCACAATAGAGTCCTATGTGATGCATGTCATATAATCATGGTAGTAACTATCCCATCAAATTCACAGGCTCCACCCACACTGAAAGGGAAATAATTATACAAGGTGCATACACAAGGGGTGAGAATCTTGGGGATCACCTAGAATTCTGCTTACCACAGTAGCCTATCCCTCAAAAGAACCATTAGAAAGGGATAGAGGATACTGCTTTATGAAACTGACAGAAATTAGCACCTACAAAAGTAAGTGAACTCTTATCCCAGTAGTACATTCAAGCCCCTGTAACTCCCCCAGCACTAGTAAGGTGTCCTACTCTTTTTTGGTATATATTTTATACTCTTTCATGTTTTCAGTTCTATTTCCTTTATGTTTATCCAGTCTTTGGTTGAAACACTTTTCCTTTCCTCACTGAGCTGCATTGACTCTTCTGTCAAAATTCAGTTGGCTGTGTATATGTAGGTCTATCTCTAGACTGTTTTACTTACTTATTTGTCTACCCTTAATTTACTACTGCACTATCTTAACTATAATATTTTTCTAGTAAATCTTGAAATCAGATAGTACGAGTCCTCTAACTTTGTTTTCTTCAAGATTATCTTTGCAATTTGGGGTCATTTGCACTTCAATATAAATTTTAGAATCAGTTTGTTAACTTCTGCCAAAAAAGTGTGTTGGGATTTTATTGGGAGTGTACTCAATCTGTAGATCATTTTGGGAAGTGATATTATCAAGTATTAAGGCTTCCAAACCATGAATATGGTCTATCTCTCCATTAATTTAAGTCTTCTTTAATTTCTTTCCACAATATTTTCTAGTTTTCAGTACAGAAGTCTTGGACGTTTTAAATTAGATTTATTCATAAGTATTTGATTTTGTGGGATCCCTGGGTGGCGCAGCGGTTTGGCACCTGCCTTTGGCCCAGGGCGCGATCCTGGAGACCCGGGATCGAATCCCACGTCGGGCTCCCGGTGCATGGAGCCTGCTTCTCCCTCTGCCTGTGTCTCTGCCTCTCTCTCTCTCTCTCTCTCTCTCTCTCTCTCTGTGATTATCATAAATAAATAAAAATTTAAAAAAATTGATTTTGTGATGCTATTTTTAAAAAACATTTATTTATTCATGAGAGACACGGAGAGAGAGAGAGGCAGAGGCACAGGCAGAAGGAGAAGCAGGCTCTTCGCAGGGAGCCCGATGCAGGACTCGATCCTGGCTCCTGGGATCAGACCCTGAGCTGAAAGCAGATGCTCAACTGCTGAGCCACCCAGGTGTCCCTGTGATGCAATTTTAAATAATATTTTTAAATTTTCATTTCCCAATTATTCGATGATAGAATATTGTGGTAGGCAGAATAATGCTCTTCCAAAGATGTCCAAGTCCTAATATCCCAGAACCTGTGAATACGTTACATTACAAAGGGAAATTAAGGTTGCAGATATAATCAACTGACTTTAGAATAGAGACATTATCCTGGATTACCTGAGTGGGTCCAATGTAATCATTCGTTTTTTGTTTTGTTTTGTTTTGTTTTTTTTTCTTATGAGAGGGAATTAAAGACATGGGGGTGGCCAATTCATGAGAAGTAGAACAAGGGGTAAGAAGTAGGCTAATGGCAGGGAGGATGCTGGATTCTAGAGTATTTGTTTCCCTTCTTTGGGTCACATTTTTCCCATTTTAAAGTGGGTGAGTTGGCCGGTGCACTCCTAAAGGACAGAGACTTGTCTAATTCACTTCTGTGTCCTTATTGGTAAGAATTTAGAGAAGTCATTGATTAGCATTTTAGGATGGACATCTATTCCATTATGAATGGATGGATGGGTAGGCAAGGGGGAGGCGGGATGAATAGATTTCTAGGAGCTTTTCCAGGTCAGGAAATAGAAAATTCTCAGGTTCCTCCAGGGTCACAGAAATCGCTGAATACAGTTTAGAATCTCAGATTTTCGTAACTTTCCCGCGAGCAAGCCTGGTGGTGGACTCGTGCAGCTCCTCCGCGGCGCGCGGCCAGCCAGGGCTTAAAGTCTCTTCTCTGAATTCATCGTTTTCCTCCCTCTCGATCCAGAATCATTTCGCGGAGACCCCCCAAGTCGGAATGCCTCCGAGGCCTCCCCCCCTTCTCTAAGGACGAGGAAAGCATCTGGATTCCGCGGCACTCCTACCTTCGGGCGCGACATGGTACGATTCACCAGGGCCGGACCCAAACCGCCACTGCGACAGCTCCAGCCTCCGCGTCCCGTTGCCAAGGTGATGGAGGGCGCCCGGATCCTCCTCTCTGATTGGATGAGCCAAAGGCCCTCCTCCTCGCGGGGTTCGCAGTCTAGTGTCTGATCCCAGCACCCGAAAGCGCTTGCGTGCCCGGGAGGCCCAGACCCTCTTACTTCGTTCGACCTTTTTCTCCCAGCCCCTCTCCTCTGCGACCCTGGGGCGTACACGGCCAGAGAGTGGCTGCCCTGGGTGGGCACGGACAGCCCAGCGCTTCCTCCAGCTGCATTTCGCTAGACTTAAGAGCGCTCTGTCTCAAAAGTTGTCAGCTTTTGGTAAATGCAATGGTACAAAGTTTCCTTACTGGATCCCTTACTAAGTCGCCTTGTCATTTGGATAGTTGGCAACGCAGCTAGTCAGACTTCTGCTTTTTCTCAGCCATTCTCTAATTCTTAGGCACCAACTCCATACAGGATTCATCTCAACTCCTGCAGTAGCCTCCTGATGAGTCTGCCAGTGCCCACTCCTGCCCTATCCATTTTAACTCATTCTTGGCAATGTAGTTGAAGAGCTTTTTAGAACACAAATCCGATACTCTCTCCACTGCACCTAACTTGAAGTAGCAACTTATTCCTCATTGCACTCTGTATTGGCTCCCTGCTTTCCCTACCTCACTTCTCCACTGCACTGGGTCTTCTATAGGCTAACCAGAGCTGAATAGAAACTGTTTTTAAAAAATGTGATGTTGCATAGCAACAAAATATAAGTTATGTAGGAATATATCTAATAAAATATATGCAAGACATTTTATTAATGACAAATTCTTATCAAGCCTCTACTCTATGGTATGCCTCATTCTTGACTCTGTCCTCACAGATACAGCAATGAAGAAAACCAACAAATATCTGCCCTTGCAGAGTTTATATTTTCATAGGGAAAGTTACAAAACATTGAAGGACATTAAAAAGGCCTGAATAAATGGAGGGATATATATACCATGTTCATGGACAGGAAGACTCAATATCAAAAATGTGTGATTTCTTTCAAATCCAACTAGGACTTTTGAGAGACCTTCTCAACCCAAGAGATGCAAATATCAGTGGAATAATATGGGGATCCTAGAAACAGATACAGGTGTATGTGTGTATGTGTATGTGTTTTAACTTAGTGTACAATAGAAGTGGCATCATAAATTAGTGGTGAAAGTATGGAGGACTCAGTAAATGGCATTGAGAAACTGGCTTTCCATTGGAGTGAAAAATAGGGATGCTTTGGGTGGCTCAGAGGTTAAGCATCTGCCTTTGGCTCAAGGCCTGATCCTGGAGTTCCAGGATCGAGTCCCACATCAGGGTTTCTGCACGGAGCCTGCTTCTCCATCTCCCTGTGTCTCTGCCTCTCTCTGTGTCTTTCATGAATAAATAAAATCTTTAAAAAAAAAAGGAGTGAAAAATAGATGCCTAATTCAAATAGGCTAAAGAATAAATACAGCAAACAAATACTTCAGACTATTAGAAAAAATATTTAAGTATATATATATACATATATGTAATATTTTATGATGTCAAGGTGGGAAAGGATTTCTTTTTTTTTTTTTTAGGATTTCTTAATAAAGTACAAGTACAAGTCATAGTGGAAAAAGTTAACCTGACTTTCTCAAAATCTAAACTGCCATATAACAAAAGACATTATAAGTTCAATTAAAAGACAAGCTACATAAATAAATAAATAAATAAATAAATAAATAAATAAATAAATAAATAAAATGTTTTAAAAGGAGGAGGACACCTTGAGGATGTATGGAAACTCAACCTTTATATGCTATTGGTAGACTCACATTAATAAGGCAATTTGCAATATCTCATAAAGTTGAAAATGCACACAACTTACAATTTGATCCCACTACTGGACATATATCCTACAGGCTCTCTGAACACAGCTGTACAACCCAGAGACTATCACTTTGAAGCTAATGCACAAGGTGGACATTTTTCCCTAACAAGGATGTTCATTGAAACACTCTTATAATTATGGGAAATACTAGGAACAATCTAAATGTCCACTCATAGTGAGATGGATTAATAAAATGGAATATATTTTTTTATTTTTTAAGATTTTATTTATTTATTCATGAGAGACACAGACTGAGAGAGAGAGGCAGAGACACAGGCAGAGGGAGAAGCAGGCTACATGCAGGGAGTCCGATGTGGGACTCGATCCTGGGACTCCAGGATCACGCCCTGGGCTGAAGGCAGGCGCTAAACTGCTAAGCCACCCAGGGATCCCCAAATGGAATATATTCTAAAAAAAATACTATGCAGTGATAAAAATTAGTGGTCCAGATCTATATCAACATAAAAATATCCTCCAAACCTACTGTTGAATGAATTAAAGAGAGTTATAGAATGATAAATATTTTTAAAGGTTGAAATTTGTATTAATTTTGAACACAACAAAGTATATTCTACAAAATATGGTTACGTTGGTATTAAAAGTTTAAAAATGCAGGCTAGAGGGGTGCTTGGGTGGCTCAGTCAAGTGTCTGCTCTCAACTCAGGTCATGATCTTGGGGTCCTGGGATTGAGCCCCTTCTCAGCAAGAGGGCTGCTTTTCCCTCTACCCCTCCTCCCCTCTCATATTCTCTCTTAAATAAATAAATAAATAAATAAATAAATAAATAAATAAATAAATAGAAATAAATAAAAATAAATAAATAAATAAATAAAATCTTTACAAAACGTACAGACTAGAAAGATGCCACCAGATTCCTGATAGTGGTTTCCTCTAGCGATAGTGAAGGAAGAGGAGAGAGGATAGGAAACTTTAACTATTTTAAGTTTGTTTGCAATGTTTTGTTTTATTTAAACAACACAGTTGAAGCGAATAGGCCAAGGTATTCTTACCTGGATTTATTTTTTGGTTTCTGTCCTAACAAGAAAAGAATATCAGTACCATGACTGAGGGAGAAGTTTAGGATGCCTTGGGAATGTCTAACAGTGGGGTCTAACCATTTTTTATTTGGGGTCAGCGAGGATTGGCAGGAGGAAATGGGATTTAGTCTGGCAAAGGGGATGGGAAGAACATTCCAGGCGGAGGGAACAGCGTGTGCAAAATTGGAAATCAGAGAGAGGGAAGCATGTTTGTGGAAGCAAATGCAGATGGGTGACCAGGAAAGAGTGGGAAAGAGGGAAGAGATGAAGCTGCCAAACCCCTATGTTGTTGCTGTGTCCTTTATTACAAATCTGAAAACAGAGCTCTAGTGAGGGGAGCAGAACCAGGGCCTCCTAACTCCCTGTCAGGTGTTCCATGATAATAATAATGACAATGATAATAATGATGATGGGTCATGTGCTGATCTCTCTACTAGGAACTTGAAATATATCCTCCCACTTAATCTCACTGCAGACCTATAGAGGTTCTTCCATTTTACAGATGATGAAACCGAGATTCACAAAATTTAGGAAATTTACTCAAAGTCACAGAGACAGAAGCCAGATCCCACAAGGCCTTGATTGAACATTTTCCTTAAGGGCATTGGTGAGTGTATTAGGTTCTTACTGCAGCTGTAATTACCACAAACTGAGTGACCTAAAAGAACACAAATGTATGAGCTTACAGCTTCTGAGGTCAGAAGCCTGAAGTGGGTTTCACTAGGTTAAGATAAGGTGTCGGCAGGGCTGGGCTCCCAGGAGGCTCTAGGAGAGAATCTGTTTCCTGGCTTTTCCATCCACGTTCCTTGGCTCATGACCCCTTCCATCTTAAAAGCCAGCAATCATACCACTCTGACCTCTATTTCTATCATCAGATCCCCCCTGACTCGATTCTCCTGCCTCCCTTTCTCACTTACAACAACCTGGGGAATGACATTGGGCCCACCCGAATAACCCAGGACAATCTTTCCATCTCATGGTCAGCTGATCAGCTACTTTAATTCCATCTCCAGCCTTAAATCTCCCTACTCATATAACGTAATGTACTCACAATTTCCAGGAATTAGAGCATAGACCCCTCTGGGGAGATGGTTATTTTGCCAACCACAGTGAACCATGCAAAAGGGTTTTAAGCAAGGAAGTGATAAAGTGAGACCTGCATTTTAGCATCTTCATATTCCTGGTTTTGTAAAATAATCTCTCCCTGACTTATCTAAGGCAAATTGAACTTTTGACAGGTAACACTTTTGAAGGCAGGACAGTTCATTGACATCAAATGTGTTAAGCCTTAATAACTACATCTGGTGCTTTTACAGGGTTTTTAACATGATGGAGTTCCTTTGTACATGCGACCTGATTATTCCTCCAACAACCAAGTAAGAGTGCAAAGCACTGTTAATTATTGCCCCTTAGTGGATGAGGAAAGAGACCTAGGGGCATTTGGTCACCTGCCCTGGGCCATGGAGCTGCTAAGGCCAGGGCCAGGACTAGGAACTAGTGTGAGGACTCCTCTGTCAGTATTTCTTTATGCCACCTCTGGGGTGGGCATTCTAGGAAACACACGTCAGACAGTACATCTTTGGTGCAATTTTTCCTGTATAACTTGGTGCCCGATAAACATTTGTTGAATAGATGAAGCCCTGCTCTCACTTCCGTAGCACAAACAGTGGTTTTCAAGGCAGGAAAATGGGGAATGGTCCTAGAATTCCTCCCTTTCCCCCACATTCAATCTATTTGCAAAGTCCCATCAGCTGCGCTGCTGAAATATTAAGTCTGTCCCCTTCTGTCCAGTTTCCCTGCTCCTGCTGTGTCCCAGGGCACCACTGCCTCACTGGCCTCCCTGCTTCACCTTTCTAATATATTCATTCCAGATAAGGGTCAAAGTGACCAACTTAAAATGTAAACCAGATGACACAGATGGCCTCCTTTGTTAAGTTTTCCCACCAGCTTTCTATCACACAGAGGAGGAAAACCTAAACTCCCCATGATGGCCATACTCAGTCCTATAGGCTTGGTTCCCCACTCCCTCGTTAGCCTCAACCCCCTTGGCACACCCTTTCCACCCTAGTCCCACTAGCCATTCACTAAGGCCAAACTTTTCCCACCACAGGGCCTTTGCTTATCTTGTTCCTTATGCTAGAAATCTCTCTACTCTTTTTTTTTTTAAGATTTTATTTATTCATGAGAGACACACACAGAGACAGAGAGAGATGCAGAGACCCAGGCAGAGGGAGAAGCAGGCTCCATGCAGGGAGCCTGATATGTGACTCGATTCCAGGACCCCTGACCTAAGCCAAAGGCAGATGCTCAACCACTGAGCCACCCAGGTATCCCAAATCTCTCTACTCTTTAAATAACTGGGCCTTTCTTCTATGTCAGGTCTCAGCTCAGATGTAGCCTATTTAGAGACGTTCTTCCTGCCTCTTTCTATTTCCTTTCCTGAAAATTGTGAGCATTTGTAAACACTTTTTCTATTTGCTTATTTTGTTTGCCTTCCCTCCTAGACCTGAGATGTCCAATACGTAGCTCCCAGCCATGTGTTAAGCAAGTGACATGTGGCTCCTGAACTGAGCTGTGCTCTAAGTGTAAAGTGCACACTGGGTGGTAAAGACTTCATACAATAAAAAGGAGGTAAAATATCTCAATAATTTTAAAATATCAATTACATGTTGAAATGGTAATATTTTGGATATACTGGATTAAATTTTAAAAACATTAATTTTAAAAAAGATTTTATTTATTTATTCATGAGAGACAGAGAAAGAGCCAGAGACATAGGCAGAGGGAGAAGCAGTTTCCCTGCGGGGAGCCCAATGCCAGACTCGATCCCAGGACCCCAGGATCACACCCTGAGCTGAAGGCAGAGACGCTCAACCACTGAGCCACCCAGGCGTCCCTAAATAGAATATTAACCACCTGTTTCTTTCTATTGTTTTAATGTGGCTGCTACAGAATTTAAGATTACACATGTGACCCACATTATATTTCTATTGGGCAGTGTTGGTCTACATTATTAGCCAACAAAGGTAGGAACCCTGTCTGCCTTAGCCACCTGTGTGTCCCTAGTCCCTACCATACAGTAGGTGCTCAGTAAGCATTTGTTGAATAAGTCAGTTTTTTTTTAATTTTTATTTATTTATGAAAGTCACAGAGAGAGAGAGAGAGAGAGAGGCAGAGACATAGGCAGAGGGAGAAGCAGGCTCCATGCACCGGGAGCCTGACGTGGGATTCGATCCTGGGTCTCCAGGATCGCGCCCTGAGCCAAAGGCAGGCGCTAAACCTCTGCGCCACCCAGGGATCCCGAATAAGTCAGTTTTTATGAGAATCCTAGGCACAAAGAGAAATGAGATAGGCAGCCTCAGGTACACTGTGAATTTGAGGAAGAAAGAAATGCCAAAGACAGTTTTATTTCTCTCTAGTCACTGCATTTCAAACAGGTTCTGTCACCAACATTCCCCCCATAGTCACCTACTACTATAGATGTAGGGCAGAGGGTGGCTGGAGGAGCCAGGTTGGCTCAACTGCTTCGATTTCAGACCCACAGGAGGTGCGCTGGCTCAACCACTTTACATTCTTCAGCTTTGGTCCTAGCAGCCAGAGAGGGCTCACCTCAGTGCATTGAGACACCTGGATATAGGGTAGCTGGGAGCCAAGGGCAGTTGCCCAGGGTCACCCAGCAGGTCAGAGGTGAATAGGATCAGGAACCTTTCCAGGTCCAGGACTCTGTGGACTCTAACTACATCCTCCTGTAGTCTTCTTTACTCCAAGGGACCCAGGTGTCTGGAACATCTCCCCCCTCACATTTTACCCCTGATCTCTTGAGGCCCTTAAGGGCAATGATGCCTGGTCTCAGCAGAGTTGACCCAGATGGCACCATCCTCATAGAGGCCAAAGTGGATGGGATGAAGGAGTGGGAGGGAGGGAGGGAGGGAGGAGGGAGGATGGACAGATGGATGAATGGATGGACCGAGGAAGGGATGAATGGGTGGACTGGAGGACGGGAGGGCAGATGGCCGCAGGAGTGGGGGAGGAGGAAGGCTGGCTGGTAGGATGCCTGCGTGGGGGCGGGGCAGGAGTGAGGCTGTTCCGAAGGAAGGAATTACCCACACAGTAAGTGAATGTAGGGGGACCCGCAGCGATCCAAGTCCAGCCCCCCGCACGTTTCTGCTGGGAAAGCGCGGCCAGGCCGAGGCAGCGGGGCTCCCGGCCCAGGGCCCGCAGGGAGGTCGCGGCAGCGCGGGTGCTGGGGATCCGAGCGGCGGCGGCCGGGGGCTCCTCCCGCCCCCGCGCCCACCCCGCCCGCGCCAGACGGTGCCAGGTGGGGGGAGCGCCCCCGCCCCCCCTCCGGAGGTGGCGGCCCCACGCGGCCCAACAAGCTGCCGTTGTCCCGCGGGCCCTGGGCCGGGCACACTGGGGCTTTGTCCAGCCCCCCGCCGCGACCCACGGTGGGGGGGGGCCCCACATGACCAAGGGGGTAGGAGGAGCCTGCGGCGGCGGCAGCGGCGGCGGCGGCTCCACCACCATTTCCCTCCCTGGCCGGGGGTCGGCGGCGGGCGGCGGCGGCGGCGGCGGCGGCGGCCGGGCAGGGGCCCCTGTTCCCCGTCAGGCTGCAGGCGCCGGGCCTGGGCCAGCAGGGCAGCTGCGAGCCGAGCGCTCTCCGGGCGGCGAGCTGGGGGTGCGCCCGGACCCCCGCCCCCGGGATCATGGGGAATGGCATGACCAAGGTAGGGGGGCGGGGATCGCGCAGCCCGCCCCTGGCCGCCCCCCGCCCCGCCGCGGTGGCCGTGCCCGCCTCTGACCTTCTGGCCCTCGCCCTCAGGCGCCGTGTGTCCAGGTCTCGGTCTCCCGGCGACTCTGTGACCCCGCATCCTTGTGTCTCCGCTTACGTCTCTCTCCGTGTGTCTGTTCCTGCCTGTTTCTGTGCCTGTTTCTTGCTGGCTCCTTCTGTGGCTGTCTGTCACTCCCACACTCTGTCCGAGTCCCCTGCCCTGTCTCCAGGTGTCTCTGTCTTCCTTGTCTCTGACTCCTGGGACTCTCAGGTGCTGTTTCTCCATTCTTCCCCCTCTGCCTCTGCATGTCCTTCTTCCTGTCCCTGCCTGACCATCTCCCTCCTCAGAATTCCCTACCGCCCACCTGGCAAGTCTATCTCTCCTCTCCACCTTTCCAGCTCTCACCCCTGCCCAAGCTGGCCTGCCCCCCACCCCTGGGGCAGAGTCCAGGCCCAGGAGGTGGGGGGAGGAGATTGCTCCTTGAGTCCTGAGGTCCAGACACCTGTCCCAGGAGGAGGATGGGTTGTGGGCCCCCAGCTACCCCGTGGGAAACCTTCATCCCTACCCCACTGACCCCAGCCTGTCTCTCCTGTAGGTACTTCCTGGACTCTACCTCGGAAACTTCATTGGTGAGCACTGCCCACTCTGTCCCAAGGCCGTGGCACTCCGCCTGTCCCAAGCCTATGTCCACCATTCATGCTCTGGCCCACACACCTTGGAAGCTCTCAGGAATGGGGCCGGGGGCAGGGAAGCAATGCCAGGCTGGGAGGGAGAAGGCGCTCATGAGGACTAAGTGTTATGTGGGCAGGGAGCGTCCCCAGTGCAAAGGGTTCGAAACGCCTGCCAGATGCCAAGCAAGTCTGCACCTCCTCTGAGCCCCAGTATCTCCAGTACAATGCCCACTCACTCTTAGAGCTCTTACAGCCCTGAGGTTCTGGGTTGAGGCCTGTTTGGGGGTGCTGCTTCTAGTGGAGAAACTGGGAACCTTCCCCCTACAAGCTTCTACACAGAGAGGAGGTCTCTCGAGACTCAATTCTGCCCCAGAAATGTGCTAGTGAGCACTACCCACTCTGTCCCAAGGCCATGGCCCTCTACCAGTCCCAGGCCTGTGCTAAGAGACCAGCTGATTCTGAGACTCCACGCATTTCCATGTGGAGTCAGAGAAAGCTTCAGAGAAGAAGGGGCATCTGCACCAGCACAGGGCTTTCCCCCTCCACCCCTGCCTGCCCCCCACCGACCTTGGCATAGATGTTCCACTCCCATAAATCTGATCTCCTCCCTGGGAGCCACCTCAGCAGTTCACGCCTCAAGCCCATGAGTACTGGGCTAAGTACGCTCTGAATCTTAAGTCTGCAGCCCCATGAGGGCAGGGGCCATGAAGTTGCCCCTACACTCCCATGCCCAGCCAAGGTGGCACATAGTAAGTACTCAGTGAATGTGTTAAATGAAGTAGACATATGGAGAGAGAGGGGATATGTTTTTATTCTGATTCTAAAAGAGCTGCATACACTGGAATTCCAGGCCTTGGAGATGGCCATTGATAGAAGTGTGAGGTTTATCCCTGGGTCGGTTTTCATATATCTTTGTGGATACAGATGTAATATTTAAAACAAAAATGCATTCTGCATGCTGTTCTGTGACCTGTTTCCTATTTGATAGTATATTGTGGACAGGCTTTTCTATCCAATGGCTGCACAATATTCAAGTATGACTATACCATTATTTATTCAGTTCTCTCATGGTGGATGTATAGGTTGCTCCCACTTTTTAACAATTTCTGGTGTGTTTACTGTTATGAGCAGTACTACAGAGAACATTATCCTCTACACACAGCTTTCTGGGTGAGCAAACCATTCTGTAGACAGGATCTCTGGAAGTAGAGTTGCCTGGTCAAGGATATGCCAGGAAAGTGTGTTTGCCATGGAAGGAAGCATGAGCAAGGCTGGGAAGAGGCTGGGCTGTTACTTGTGGGAGCCATAGAGATAAGACTGAAGCCTAGGGGTGTGGTGGGACCTGTCATGCCAGGAACGCAGGTGTCCAAGGACAAGGGGGCTAGCAGAGGGTGGGCCAAAGTGGAGAGGGAGGGGTGGGGCAGGGAGCTGGGCAGCAAGGTTCCACTTTTCTTGGCCAGGGACACATAAGTTACTGTGACTAGATTGGCACAGGCATCTCGTTTCTTTCAGATGCCAAAGATCCGGACCAGCTGGGCCGGAACAAGATTACACATATCATCTCTATCCACGAGTCACCCCAGCCTCTGCTGCAGGTACTCCCTACCCCCGTCCTTGGGCTGCGTACAGTTGTGGAGGGGAGCTTTAGACCCCACAGCACTCATTTATCAAGTACTTACTATCTGCTGGGTCCTGTACTGCCTCCCTGACCCATAATAGGTCATTCTGTTAAAAACTGATTTGTTCTACATTAGCATCCCCATTTGATCCGTATTTGGCAACTGAAGCCCAGGGAGGTAAAGAAACTTGCCTAAGGCCACACATCCACAAAGCTAAGGAGCTAGGATTTGATGGTCTGACCCCAGAGGCCTCACCCTGAGCCATAAAACGGCCCCTATGTGGGGTTCCCATTGCCCAAATGAACAGATGATACAAATGGATGATTCTGGTTTTTATATCTTGCTGTGTAATCTCTGGGCCTCTGATCCCTCAGTCCTGTCTGCCCGAAGAGGGGCTGTTGTGAGGATGCAAAGGGGCTGCAGGAAGGTGAAGATGTTTTGCATGTAAAGATGTAAAGCATGGCCCCCGCTGGGAGGGTTGGTGCTGGTATTATAGAGTTCTAGAAAAGAGGGGTAAGGATGTTGTAACCCAGAAGAGAAAAGTAGGAAATCCAGACCACTTATTCTGTAATCTTGGGCCCAGGGCTTCACCTTTCTGAGCCTCCATTGCCTGATCTGTAAAATAGGAATTTATTTATAAAGATTTATTTATTGGGATCCCTGGGTGGCACAGCGGTTTAGCGCCTGCCTTTGGCCCAGGGCGCGATCCTGGAGACCCGGGATCGAATCCCACGTCGGGCTCCCGGTGCATGGAGCCTGCTTCTCCCTCTGCCTGTGTCTCTGCCTCTCTCTCTCTCTCTCTCTCTCTCTCTCTCTCTCTCTCTCTCTGTGATTATCATAAATAAATAAAAAAAAATAAAAAAATAAAAGCAAAGAATTTACATTTATTTAAAAAAAAGATTTATTTATTTATTTGAGAGAGAAAGAGCGTGTACAAGCAGGAGGGTAGAGGGAAAAGAAGAGGGAATCTCAAGTAGACTCTCTGTTGACCATGGAGCCCAATGCAGGGCACGATCTCACAACTCTGAGATCATGACCTTAGGATCACAACCCTGAAATCATGACCTGAGTGGAAACCAAGAGTCAGACACTCGACTGACTGCACCACCCAGGTGCCCCTAAAATGGTGACTTTATAATAGTACATGCCTTACTGAGTTGTTGAGAGCCACATAACAGTCAACAAATTACAGCTAATATAGCAAAGTTAATCATATTCTTATCCTATAAATAGAGCCGCTTCCTCATCTATTAGAATGTATGTCACCCACTAAAGGGGAATAACTGTGGGTGGAAATGGGCTCTGAAGATCTGAGATCCAAACCAAGTTCTGTCACAGGTTTACTATGTGACCTCAGACAGGTTCCTTTCCCTCTCTGGGCCTTAGTTTCCCCCTGTGTCAGAGTTAATGGTCTCTAAGATCAGACCTCCAATAATCTGTGATTCTTGGTGTCATTCATACAAGAAATTTCCAGGTCAGTGCAGCCTGATTTTGCTTTATAGAGCAGGCCTGTTTTGGAGTATTTGGAGGATGCAACCACTAGATTGCATGGAGTAGGTTGTCAAGTCATGAGTAGATTGACTAATGAAATGACTGCCTGCCAAATGAGTCCCCACTCCAACAGTCTTACCTCTTCCCACAGCAGCTCTGCCTCCCCATCTATCCGTGAATTTACCAGTCAGGGTTTGATGATGCCAAGCAATCACAAGGCCAAATGTGTTGCAAAGTGAAATTGCAAACCTTGCAAAAGATACAGGGTGGTGTGACCTTGGGAAAAATGAGTCCCAGAAGGACTGGAATCTCACACAAAGCCATTAACAAGTGAGGACCTGGCCCGGGGTCCCTTAGCCAGGCTGGTGGTGGGCCTGGCATTTGAAAAAGAGTAATTTGAATATAAAAGGATTAAAAGAGGTCCTTGAGAAAAGTGATTCTTGGAAGAGGAGCTCAAATCAGCTTTATGATCTTGTGTGAAGGTTAAGCAAGAAGTAAAGAATGTCACAGCCAGTTTGTGGGAGAAATTACAGAAAACTCATCCCTTGATTATTTGAATAATTAGCACATACTTTTAAAACAAATTTTAAAAAATATTTATTCATGAGAGACACACACACACACACACACAGAGAGAGAGAGAGAGAGAGAGAGAGAGAGAGAGAGAGGCAGAGACACAGGCAGAGGGAGAAGCAGGCTCCATGCAGGGAGCCCGGCTTGGGACTCCATCCCGGGTCTCCAGGATCACGCCCCAGGCTGAAGGTGGCGCTAAACAGCTGAGCCACCCGGGCTGCCCAGCACATACTTTTATAACTGCAGTTGATGAGCTATAAACTTATGTTAATGGTTTTTGTTTCTTGTCAAGATAATAAAATCCGTTGTGCTCTTTTTAAAATAAGTAATCTCTACACCCAACGTGAGGCTCAAACTCACAACCCCGAGATCAAGAGGTGCATGCTCTACCCACTGAGCCAGCCAGGGACCCTGTTTTGCCCCTTTTTGGGTATGATTTTTGTAAACCTCATTTGGAGGAGAATCATTGTTAGTTGCCCTTTTCCACTTATTAAATAAAAGGTCCCTGGATCCTTTTTATCAAGTCCTCTTGTCCAAATCACCTATGAGGTTAGGATACCATCTTCTCAGAAGGTTCTGGAACTCAGAGCTGGGAGGCACTCAGAGGTGATATCCACCTTCTTTGGATGGAGGGGGCAGCAGTGGCTCAGAGAGGGGCAGGAGCTGGCCTGGGGTCCTGAGGTGCTTGGGCAGCCCTGGCCAAGGTCAGGGGTGCAGCCAAGGGCCCCCTCACTGCCCATGTGTGTTTTGTACTTACAGGACATAACCTACCTTCGCATCCCTGTGGCGGACACCCCTGAGGTACCCATGTAAGTTCTCTGGAGGCACCAACAGAGGTGTCTTCTGTGGTGATGGGAGGGAGGGTGGGGGATGGTCTGGAGGATGACAGAGAGGACTCATGCCAAAGAGCTGTCCTGGGGACCCTAGCACAAGTGGTCACTCAGACCTATGTTTGACTCTGTCTCAGCTACACCCTTGCCTATTGTCCTGGCCAAGACCTGTAATCTTCCAGAGCTCAGTGTCTTTAGCTGTGAAATGGAGAGTACCCTGTCTAAGGACCAGATGCCCCAGCAGATTTGAAGGGGTCAGGCTCAGCCATTTCCTGGCCTTGGAGTTAAGACCTCCGGGCTCCAGCCAGGCTTTGCCATTTACTTGCTTTGTGACCTTGCACAAATCGCTTTCCCTCTCTGAGATCAGATGGCACAGGTTGAGGATCTAGGACAGGGCCTGCATGTAATGGGGACTCAGGAAGCAGGATTTTTATGTTTTGTTATTAGCAGCAGTACCTCCCAGCCTGGAAGTAACCCAGACAGATATTTCTCCCAACCTGTTGCTGACCAACATTGTCCCCAGATGCTCTGATTGCAGACCCTGGAAGAGTGGGAGTACTCTGTCCCCTCACATCCATTTCCTTGAAAGATAAACCCTCCATGCAAATAGGATCCACTGGAGAGGCACTCCTGCCTCCATGGTGGGATTTCTCATTATTGGCCTCTTTCACTGCCTGAAATGCCGCCATTGTTAATTCACACCACCTCTACTTGTTCTATAGTACAGGCCCCTATTCTCTGCCTAGGCTGGCTGACCCAAAGACCCAGGGCTCTTGGCACCCCATCAGTGTGGAGGGGGACAGTTCCTAGGAGAACATGCCCCCCAGTGCTCCCTACCCTATCTCTTTCTTCTCTAGCAAAAAGCACTTCAAAGAATGTATCAACTTTATCCACTGTTGCCGCCTCAATGGGGGGAACTGCCTTGTGCACTGGTGAGTTAAGAGAGGAATGATGGGAGGAAGTAAGGGGCTGTCCTCTATGTCACACACGCACACACACACACACACACCCTATGGGGAATGTGGAACCTGGGATCGACCTTCTCCATCCTGTCCCCATGCATGACAGTCTACCATTCATCTGATGGAGGGTGATCAGGGGCTCAAATCAGGGCTCTGTCCCTTACCAGCAGTGTGGCCAAGGCCAAGGAGCTCTTTCTCCCTGAGATTCCCATTTCCTCTTCTGTAAAATGGAGAAAAACCTACCTGCTGAGCACCTACCCTATGCTGGGCTCAGGGCGGCTCTGTAAGAGCCTCAGTCCTAAGAACAGCTCCTCCAGCCTATCTGTTGCCCTCTGCCCCTCCTTCCCCCACTCCAGCTGCACTGGCCAACTCCCCACCCTCCAAATCCACCGAATCCCACCTCATGGGCTTTGTACACTGCCCAGAACATTCTTGACTGACCTTTACCCATCTTTCAGGACTCAGCTTGATGTCATTTCCTTAGAAACCCCTTCCCTCATCCCTCCCTATGCCCTCCACTAGATTAATGCCTTTTCCTATATGATCTCTTAGCCTCTGGATTACTCTTCAGAGCAGTTATCACCACCTGAAATTGTTTCCTTGGTTAGTGGCCATCTCTCCCAACCGTACTGTAAGCCCCAGGATGGCAGAGACCATGTCTGTTTTATTCTCTGCCATATCCCCAGTACCTGAAAATTAACAAATGGTCAGGAAATGTTTGTTGAACAAATGAATGAAGTGATGTTTCACTCAGGCCTGTGATGTGGGAGAGTGCCAGGGGGATACTCCAGGCATAAGGAACAGCATGGGCAAAGAAAGTGGGAAAACAAGTCCTGGTAGGCTCTCTGTGATGGAAGAGCAGAGTCTGAGGGTGGGAGAGCTGAGGTGTGGGGATGGGGTGTGTGAGGGCAGGGCATGGAGGAGATTGGGCCTTACCTGAAGCCTGGGGGGGCCTGGTATCCCAGCTTTGCAGGCATCTCCCGCAGCACCACCATCGTGACGGCATATGTGATGACTGTGACGGGGCTAGGCTGGCGGGACGTGCTTGAAGCCATCAAGGCCACCCGGCCTATCGCCAACCCCAACCCAGGCTTTAGGCAGCAGCTGGAAGAGTTTGGCTGGGGCAGTTCCCGGAAGGTAGGGGCTGGGGCAGAGGCAGGAGCTGGGCAGGGCAGGGAGACTCTTCCCGCTTGAGTTGAGAATTGATTGGAAAGAATTTAGCCTGTGCTTCAGACCTAGCAGGAGATTTTTCTGGGGATCTCGAACTCATGACCCTTAGCTAATCTAGCCCCTAGGTGTATTTTGTGGGGTCAGCCAGATGTTTTCTTTTCCTTTTTAGTTTAGAATTTGGATGCCTTTGGGCCAGACTGTGGATCCTTCAGTTTGACAAGGGCCCAGCACTGCATGCTCTACCATTTGAATGTTTGACCCCTTTGGGGAGGAATGTCCATTCCCTACTCCACCCCTGATCTCCTGATGAGGCCAAAGCATCTCCTTCTCTTATGCCCACCGGGCAGATGGCACATGGAGATGTCAAGAACCGACACCTCCCTGGGAATTAGGGATGAGAGACAGAAGCAGTAGGTGCAGAAAGGCTCCCCTCGAGTGGGAGTGGCCCGCTGGTACTCAGGCTTATCTTCAAGGCTGCTTGAGGAAAGGGGCAGGCAAAAAGGAAGCCAGTGTGGGTGGGGTTGTTGCTCAGGGAGGAGGGGTCATGTGGTCCCCACGGTGCTGGGGGCTTTAGCAGGTCTGCAAGATGAAGTGTCAAAGGGGAAGGAGGTTCAGGAGAGGGAAGGGACTCCGAGGAGGAGGGCACTCCATGAGGGCCCTGGAAACTCCAAAGCGAGGGGGAGAGGATGCTCAGGAAGGGGAGGGGCTCGCGGGGGCTGGGAAGCTCGCGGACCGGCGGGAGCGGCGAGGACTGGGGAGGAGACCGCCGGCCGCCTGGCACCGGCCGACCCGTCTCCTCCACCCCCGTCCAGCTCCGCCGGCAGCTGGAGGAGCGCTTCGGAGAGAGCCCTTTCCGCGACGAGGAGGACGTGCGCGCGCTGCTGCCGCTGTGCAAGCGCTGCCGGCAGGGCTCGGCGGCCGCGGCCGCGTCCCCGGCGCCGCACCCGGCGGCCTCGGAGGGAACCCTGCAGCGCCTGGTGCCGCGGCCGCCCCGGGAGGCCCACCGGCCGCTGCCCCTGCTGGCGCGCGTCAAGCAGACTTTCTCTTGCCTCCCGCGGTGTCTGTCCCGTAAAGGCGGCAAGTGAGGATCCCGGCCCGCCCCGCCGTGGCGCCCCTCTGCCTAACGACTGCCCCCCTTCGGGGCCGTCTGGGCCTCCCACGGCCTCCAGGACGGGCCCAGAGCCCGTGGGAGCCCCGCGGCGGCCTGCCCCTGCCCCCGCCCCTGATGCCCGCCCTGCTTGTCTGCGTCTGCAGTCTGTGTGTCCTCCATCCTTGCGTCTCTGTGTCTGGACCGGCCTGCTGCAGCCACTTGGTGCCTTAGTCCTTGGGCTGGGGGGAGGGGGCACCCGGGCCTCCACCCTTAAAGGCAGCGGGAGTGGGAGTGGGTGGATGGGTGGGGGGTGGATGGGCCTGGAGGATATTAAAGAGACACAGAAGCTGTCTGTATGAGCCTCTCCTGGTCATTCAGCAAGGGGCAGGGATGCAGGAGCCCGCCAGGGGCTGGAGTCTGCAGGCAACAAAGCCGAGGGGGGGGAGGGGGGGAGGTTTGTGTCCCATAGGGCCTGAGGAGCCTGCCACCTCCCAAAAACTGCCCTGGGCTGGGCTGAATCCTGAGACTCCATTCACTGCCCTGACCCCCACCCCCATCTCTCCATGGAGTCCTGGTCTCCTGAAAAGGCCCCTGAATCCCTCCTTCCCTATGAATCCCTTTCCCCCACTGAGCCCTTCTGCTCCTCATCAGCTCCTTCCTCTTCCCTACTCACAAATACTAGCTAGTGAGCTTTAGAGCGCCTCCTTCTTGCCTGAGGACAGCCAGGGTAGGGGAGGCTGGATTTGAACCTGGACAGTCTGTGTTCCATGGTGGCTGTTAAGAAGCAGTTCCTTGGTGCTCATTTAACTGGATTATTTGGGGCCTTTTCAGTGGTGACTTGTATTCAGTTCTTTATATACTTTGCATATTAACTCCTCATTGGATATATCATTTGCAAATATCTTCTCCCACTCAAGACCCTTCCCACCTGGAGCTTAAAGGCCAGGGCGGGCAGCCACTGAGGAGGGAAGGCCTCTGGGCAGCCCAAGCAAGCAGCAGAGTGACCCCGAGGGTGAACAGAGGTCATCGGAGCTGAGTTTTCTGAACTAAAGGTAACTTGGAGTTGAGAGGGGTCAGAAAAACCTCTAAGAGCCACCTGTATGGAGTTCCTTTCCTGTTATGCACTGAGCACTGTGTTCAGGTCTGTGGGGGGAGCCCAGATTCCAGCATTGGGGGGGTGGGAAGATGGATGAAATAATCCTCACCTGCTGCCCAGCCTTGCCCTCTGGAAACTGAAGTTGGTGTCCAAGGTCACCAGCTAGCCAGGGGTGGGGCTGGGAACCCCATCCTCCTAGTCCTCTATGACTCTGCCACCCAGAAAAATGAAGAGATTGTCTGGCACACTTAAAATTCCCGCTAAGATGTAATTATTACTCTTGGATTTAATCCTATGAAATGCTTTGGGCCCTGCTGGAGCCCTACAGGTGAGTCTGAGTCGTGGCTATAACTATAGAGGGGTCAGAACTGAGTAGTGGCTAGCATGTGAGAACAGAGGGTGCGGAGCATGAAGAAAGCCCCCCCGTGACAGGTGCTACATGAAAGATAGTACTACCAGCCTCTGGTCAATACTGACTGGGCATCCAACTCTGCTCGCTCGGAGTTGTAGTTTCCCCCCTGTATGCAACAAAGGGTGGGGTAGTCTGAGCGACTAGACCTCTTTCAAATTGAAACCCTCCTTTGACAATTAAATGAAAGATACAAACCCTAGAAAAGTGCACAGACATGAAAGAGTTTGTATATACTTTCTGTGGGTGTGGGTGTCCCTAAACCCCAGGTGTAAACTGTTGAGGGATAGTGTGGGGCACTGTTTAGGCTCCTGGGCTTTGGGAATAGAGAGACACAGGTTCAGATCTTGACTGCCTCCAGGTACTAGCTTCATGACCTTGTTACAGGGCTTTAATCTCTCTGAGCCACTTTTTGTTTTGTTTTGTTTTGTTTGAAAGATTTTATTTATTTGAGAGAGAGCATGAGAGAGAGATCACAAGCAGGGGGGATGAATAGAGGGAGAAATAGACTCCCCAAGGAGCAGGGAGCCCAACACAGGACTGGATCCCCTCTCCAGCCTGGGCTCATGACCTGAGCCAAAGGCAGATGCCCAACCGATTGAGCCACCCAGGCACCCACCTTCTTCTTCTTAATAATAAATGGGTAATGATACTCATCTCACACACTGTAGTGAGAACTGGCCTGAGAACCTGCAAGAAAGGCTTTAGCCAGGTCAACACCGTAGATGAGAACTCCCCAGTATTTAAGGAAATATTTCTCCAAGTGTGGCCCATAGACCACCTGGATCAGAATCCCACAGAACTTGTTAAATGCAGATTACTGGGCTTCTTGCCCAGAAAGTCTTTTTCTGCAGATCTGGTGTGGAGGCAAGGACTGTACATTGTAAACCAGTCTCTGCCTCCCAATTCTGATGAGAGTTAGTCTAAGAAGCACCATGGCTTTTACAACTTCTACAGTTCAGGTCCTGAAAAGAGACCTGTAAGGTTCCCACAGGCTGGGAAGGACAGAGAACAGGTGCATGGGTGGGGCAATGGATGCCTCTGGTTGCTCCTCTGAGCCCCGGCGGGGACAGGCAGATCCTAGGGTATCCTCCCCAGTACCCTCCAGTGGGTCTTAGCATCCCACTGTGCCTCTAAATGTCCACTCTGTCTCACAAGATGCCCTCTGGGCCAGGCTACCACAGAGAAGGGCAAAAGGATGGGGCCTCCCAGGGTCAGAGGGAGAGAAAAGGAAAGCGAAACTCGCCCATCCAGAACTTTCAGTTTCGCCGCCTCCGCGGCCATCCAGGTGGCTTCGCTATTCCCTGTGGTGCTGGGTCGTGCTGGGGTCCCAGCCACCGCGCACCCCACACCTGGCCGCCGGCGCACTGCGTCCTGGATGGCCGGCGACCCCTGGCGGAAGGAAGAAGGGAAGGTCCCCGCCGGCAGGCGACCGATGGCGGGGGCCGGGGGTCCCTTGCGCCTCCGCGACTGGCTGGTGGCACAGATCGAGAGCGGGCGCTACGCGGGGTTGCGCTGGGAGGACGCAGGCAAGACCCTCTTCCGCATCCCCTGGAAGCACGCGGCCCAGCAGGGCTACCGGGCGCAGCAGGACGCGGCACTATTCAGGGTAAGGGCCACTTGCTTGCCCCTTAGCCTCAGCTGTCTCTAGGTTGCAGAGAGTGTTGTGCAAGTATGGGAGACCCAATGACGCCCTCTTTAAAAAAAAAAAAAAAAAAAAGATTTTACTTATTCGTGAGAAACACAGAGACACAGGCAGAGGGAGAAGCAGGATCCCTTTGGGCACTTCAATGCAGGACTCCATCCAGGGACTCTGGCATTACGCCCTGAACCAATGGCAGATGCTCAGCCACTGAGCCCCCCTAGGGCCCCCCAAGGATGCCCTCTTAAAACAGAATCAGCCAAAGGGGCAATACGTGCACCATCCCCCACCTCTCCAGGAGGCCTCTCCTCCCTTCCCACGGGGAAATTAGACACCACCGGGGATTCCCACAACTTCCCACCCCTCCAAACTGCCAATCTCGGTAGCCTGGGGACACATTCGGTGCTTCCCTACACCAACCCTTCTCAGGGATCCCCTTTAGGGATGCCCCCTCTCCAAGGATGCTTCTCCTCCAGGGATGCCTTCTCCAGCCTCAGTCACCATTAACTTCCTTCAAACTGCCTCCTTCCCATCAACTTCAAAACTCTGGAAGCTCTCCTCTGAGCAATAAGCCAGCCACTGCCACCACCCAAACACCACAGCCACCTTCGGCTCCTACTTTCACAGGTCTGGTCATCAACTCCCTCCCTAAGTCTGGCTTCTGTCCCTTCTGCTAAACATCACTCGTTTACAAATCCAAAGATGCCATCACCATTATCTTTGACCTCTTGATTGGTCTGGGCCCGGTGGACCCTTCCTCCATGATACACTCTCACTTGGTTTCCAGAATCTGCTCCCATCACCACCCATTTTCTTTCTACCTTCCTGACCCCAAACTCAACCTCCCCCGCCCTCCACTCCTCTGTGGGTGCTCTCAGCACTGCTCCAGGACCTCCCTCCTCATGGCCCACTCCCCTCCTCCACAGCCCCACCTTTCCCAGCCTCCCCTCCAGACCCCAAGCCTGCTGGTCTCCTGACCCCCAGAACTCTCAAACTCAGCACATCTTCAGTACCACACTTCCTAGTTTGCCTCGACAAACTTCTGTGTGTCCCCAGATGGAAGGTGGCACTAAAAGTCACCAGACTCCAGAGCCAGGCACCTGAACCCTGGCTTCTCCTCTCCCAGTCTCATTGCACTCTATCACCAAGGCCTGCTGGCTCTTCCTACAGAAGTTTCTCTGCAGTCTATCTGCTTGGATCCATTTCCACCATCTCCCACCAAGACAATCTCAATAACCTCACAGAGCTCCCTGCTCCCTCCTGCCCCTCAGATCTCCCCTCAGTCCTCCAGAGAGATCTTCCTTTTTTTTTTTAAGATTTTATTTATTTATTCATGAGAGACAGAGACAGAGAGAAAGGCAGAGACATAGGCAGACGGAGAAGCAGGCTTCATGCAGGGAGCCCGATGTGGGACTCGATCCCAGGACTCCAGGATCATGCCCTGGACTGAAGGCAGGCGCTAAACTGCTGAGCCACCCAGGGATCCCAGGAGATCTTCCTAAATGTAAATCTTGCCTTGACACTTCCCTACTTAGAATCCTTCCATCGCTTCCCCATTGCTCTTGGGATAAAGTTCTAACTCCTTACCAAGACCTCAGAGCTGTGCATGAACTGCTCCTCCCTGGCTCATCTCTCCCCACCCTTCCCTTCCCTGGCTTTAGACCTGGCCTGACAGTTCTTTCAGTTTCTAAATGCCTCATGTGTCTGTCACTGTTAGACCTTTGCACCTGCTGTTCACCCTGACTAAAATACCCTCTCCTCTTCAGCTTTACCTGGCCAACTCATCTTGTTTAGCTTAAACATCTCAGGAGCCTTCCCTAATGCATTCATCTGTTGAATGCGTTTATTAAGTTCCAACTCAGTGCTTCTCCTAGGCCACCTCTGATTCCTTCTGCTTCTTCCATTGAAACAACTCCTCCGCAGCAGACTGCCTGCAGCTACTTGAGGCTTGTGACACTGAGCACAGGGCCTGGCCCACAGAAGGTACTCAGTGAGTATTGAACGGGGGGGTTACATGGCCTGTCCCTTAGGACCATGTGCTGTTCAGAAGAGGGAGATTCTGAGAGACTGGCCCTCCCCTCCCCTCAATCCACCACTGACCCATGCAAGGGACTCCCTGGCTTTGCACCCTCCTGGTGCCCCAAAGGGCATGGGATAAAGCTCGGCCTTTGAGGAGCTTCACGATCCAGCTTCCATCTGTCTCTACTTTCTCTTCCCCTCCCTGCACCACATGCAGTGGACCCTCACTATTCGCGGATTCTATATTTGCAGATTTGCATATTTGCTAACATGTATTTGCAATTCCAAAGTCAGTACTCAAGGCACTTTTGTGGCCCACGGGCAGGTGCAGAATGGCCAGTTTGGTCCCCAGACGTACACATTCCCAGCTGACGCTGAACAAAGTGATGCTTTGCTTTCTTGTCTCAGCCCTTCTACTAGAAACAGGTGTTCTTTTCAAGGGCTATTTAGTGCCACATTTTCCCATATTTTTGTGCTTTTTGTTGGCAATTTTACTATTTAAAACGGACCCCAAGCCTGTGTAACCCCAAAGTGCTCTCTAATGTTCCCACATATGACAAGGCTATGATGTGTCTTATGGAAAAAATAAGCTTCAGACAAGCTTCAGTCAGGCATAAGTTATTGTGCTGTTGGCCATGAGCTCAATGGGAATGAAGCAGTTTATATGAAATAAAATGTTCCTTAAACAGAAACACACATAAAACAAAGTTACACACAGTGTCTCTTGTGTACCAGGTACCACTCTAGGCGCTGGGGGACAGAGCAGCAGACAAAGCAAAGGTCCCTCTTTCACCATAGTGATAGTACCCTGTGTCCTGTGCCCAGGTTAGCTTTCAGTTATATCCTTAATATAATGAACAAAAGTTCAATAAATAAGCACTGACTGTGTGCCAGGCACTGTGCTAAGTACTTTACACAGACCGAGACCACTCATGCTACACCCCGCACAACCACATCAGGTTAGGTATTGTGGACACAGTTTGCAGGCAGCAAAATCAAGCCTTAAAGTTCTCACCATTGCCAAGCAGCACCAACACAGGAGCTGCGTTTTCTGTTTGGTGTTCATTTTTCCACATCAGGTCTGGAATCTCTGAAGGCAATGACTGAATAGGATTCATGAGTTAAAACCCTCCAGTATTGAATGTGGTCTTTGCAACCAATATATCTCCTCCTGCCCTCCCTTGTGGTCCCTCTGCTTCAGTCACACAGGCCTTGCTTGAATCTATCAGTCTTCCCACCTCAGGACCTTTGTACTTGCTGCTCCTTCTACCTAGACCACCCTTCCCCCAGCTCTTTGTTGGAATCCATCCTTTTCGTTGAGGCATCAATTCAAATGCCACTTCCTCATAGAGGCATTTCTGATAACCCCTCTAAAGTAGACCCTCATATTCTTATTTATTTAATGCCTCTGCCACTACAGTCATTCTAATGTGTTTAACAAATATCTCTGGTCTGTATGCTTTCTTACAGAGAAATGTTTTGTATGTATGCTTACCTCCTACACTTCACGTTGTCTGTAGATCTCATTCTGTGTCTTCCCTTTTTTTGCTCAGGATCATGTTCTGAAGATTTATTCTTGCTCTCTGTACATCTTATTTGTTGCTCCTAGATGCTTCTAGATGCTGCATAGACTCTATAGTGGGCGTCCATGACACACACACACACCTCTATCCACTTTCCTGGGGATGGACACAAGTTTGCTCTTGAGCACCACAAGCAATGCTATAGTGAATATCCTAGCCCTGCTCCCCTCATAAGCCCCTGTGAGAATTCCTCTGGAATTGGAATTTCTACTCAGAGAGTATATTTAGACTTAATTTGATGAGACATGCCTGATTACCATCCAGAAGCTCTGTACCATCCCACACCCACTAGTAGTGTCCACATCCCCACCATCTCCTGGCATTATCCAACTCACTAAATATTTTGTTGGCTTATAGGTGATAGCTCACTTAAAAAAAAAAAAAAACTAAGTAGGCTCCACGCCTAGCCTGGAGCCCAGCGTGGGGCCTGAACTCATGACCCTGAGATCAAGACCTGAGCTAAGGGATCCCTGGGTGGCGCAGCGGTTTGGCGCCTGCCTTTGGCCCAGGGCGTGATCCTGGAGACCCGGGATCGAATCCCACGTCGGGCTCCTGGTGCATGGAGCCTGCTTCTCCCTCTGCCTGTGTCTCTGCCTCCCTCTCTCTCTATGTGTGACTATCATAAGTAAATAAAAATTAAAAAAAAAGACCTGAGCTAAGATCGAGTCCAATGCCTAACCCACTGAGCCACCTAAGCACCCCAGTAGTTCACATTTTTATTGTACATTTCTCTGACACTAATGAGTTTAAAGTACATCCTAGGGATCCCTGGGTGGCGCAGTGGTTTGGCGCCTGCCTTTGGCCCAGGGCGCGATCCTGGAGACCTGGGATCGAATCCCACATCAGGCTCCCGGTGCATGGAGCCTGCTTCTCCCTCTGCCTGTGTCTCTGCCTCTCTCTCTTTCTCTCTCTGTGACTATCATAAATAAATAAAAATTAAAAGAAATTAAAAAAAAGTACATCCTAATATGCTCATGGGCTTCTGGTTTCTTCCTTCCTAAATTGCCCATTCTTGCCCTTTGATAAGAATTTTTTCTTTAGGGGATGCTCTCTGGTTTCCTGTTGGTTTGTGAAGTTCCTTGTATGTTCTAAAATTAGCCCCTTGCCGATTTCAGACATCATCTTTGTTTTGCCTTCTGTTCCATGCCTTTGAGGGGGCACAGGAAGGCACTCTCTCCCCCTGAAAGAGTTTTATCTTCTATTGGCTTCCACTTTCACCTCTCACCTTGGGTTTTTGTTTTTTGTTTTTTTAAAGATTTTATTTATTTATCCGTGAGAGAGACAGAGAGAGAGGCAGAGACACAGGCAGAGGGAGAAACAGGCTCCATGCAGGGAGCCTGATGTGGGACTCGATCCCGAGTCTCCAGGATCATGCCCTGGGCTGAAGGCGGCGCTAAACCACTGAGTCACCTGGGCTGCCCTCACCTTGGGTTTTTGAATCATCTGAAGTCCACTTTGTCTGTGGCAATAGGTCAGGATTTATTTTTATAGTTCTCCAGATAGCGAAGCACTGCCATTCTTTTATATCCCACGATCCTATTTTTTAAATTGATCATAATCCACAGCCTGGAATATTGTTATTTCCATTTAGCTGTTTGTAGCTGTTTTCTCTCATCAGACTTGAGTTCCTAGAGAGCAGCAGTCACGTCTATCTTGTTCCCCATTCAGTCCCCAGTCTCTGGCTCAGGCCTGGCATACTGTAGGAGCTTGAGGAACATGCGTTGGATGGAGGAAGGAAGAAACAGAAAAGGATGAAGGGGAAGGGGACAGAGGCCTGGAGGGAGAGACAGAAGGGTGGGAGGTGAGGCAGGCCCCCCTCCTTTTGCACAGCACCAGCCCCACTCCACGTCTATCCCAATCCAAGCACCCCTGCTCATCCTCAGGCTTGGGCCATATACAAGGGCAAGCACCTAGAGGGCATTGACAAGGAGGACCCTCCAACCTGGAAGACCCGGCTCCGCTGTGCCCTCAACAAGAGCGCCGACTTCTGTGAGGTGCGGGAGCGCAGCCAGCTGGATGTCTCCAACCCCTACAAAGTCTACCGGATTGTGTCCAACGGTGCCCATTGTCCAGGTACCATCTTGCCCCTGGAGGTAGTGGCTGAGCTCTCTGGGCAATAACAGCCTCATCTTGCCCATCTGTATGTCAACTGAGAAATGGTGGGCTTATTAAGCTTAAACTCCCGGGTTGGTAAACACAGAAAGACCCATAGACATTCAATTTCTGTTCCCATTAGAAAAGGAGGAGACTGAAGCCCAGAGAGAGGTGGGCCCTGCCTGAAATCATGCTGTGACCTCATCCTCATGTGGGATCACCTCTATTGGGGGGGCTCCCCTTGAGGCCCAGGAAACAACAGCTTGCCTCTTGCTCCACCCAGTTGCCAGGGCTTGTGCTCCCTCTGAAAAGAAGAACATTCTTCAGAGTCAGCAGGAATCCCCCAGAGAAGTGACAGAGCCAGCCTGCAGGACAGACCAGGTTGGTTGTCCTTCAAGCTTCTGCAGCCTTGCCAGCTCAGTCACCTCCACCCGAACTGCCCTCGGTGCTCTCTGGTGCTGTCATCTGTCCTGTCCTCTCCTCCAGCTGCTGCTCCATCACCATCCCCATCCCTCCTGCCAGCTCGACCTCTTCTTACCTCTGCTCTATCTGCACCACCATCTTCAGCTCCATTGTCCTGTTCCCTTTGCCTCTATCACCTCTGGGTGCCCCTTGTTCCCTTCAATTCCATCACCATCTGTCTCAGGCCTCTCTCCTGAAATTCACCCCTTGCCCCTGTCATCATTGGGTCCATCACTCTGCCCTCATCAGATGCAGCTCTGTCACTGCATTTCCCTCACCTTCTCGCTATTGCCATCACCCCAGCATCTCCACCCCCATCACCCTGTCCATATCATCCCCATTACCACCACCACCTCTCCCCCACCATCATGGTTCATTGCTCTGTTCCCATCCCCCCACCAGCCTGGTCCAATCCACTGTCCCTAGTGCCTCCATCAGCATGCATTCTATATTCTGTCCCCCATCTCTATCACTTCTGTCTCCATTTTTATCACCTCTGTCCCCTCTATCACTTCTGAACCCCCATCTGCTAATTCACTCTTCACTCTTCCTGGCATAGTGAGCTTCATCTCCAACCCCCTAATCTCCAATGGCCCCATCAATTCTTTACCTATGGGAGAGAAAAGGTCTTGAGCTCTGAAACCTTACAGCCTCTATTGACCCCAACTGGCCTGCAGTCTGTCCAGGCCTCCTTCTGCCCCATTGAGGACAGTCTGGGTACTCCTGTGGCCCACAGTCTCCTCTCCCACCCTCATAACTCTCTCCCAATGGCCAGGACAGCTCCAGATCAACCACAGAGGATAAGGACGAGGAGCAACCCCCCAGGCTGGCCCAGCGGGCCTCTCTGCCATCAGCTGCCCAGCTCACAGGCCCTCTGGCTGACCACAGTAAGGACCAGATCGCCTCACTCATGCCTGCCTCCTCTCTGGCCTCCTCCAGGACCTCGACCTAGGGGTGGAGAGACCCGGGGTGAAGTGGTGCCTGACAGCTTCCCCTCCTTCCCTAGGGTACCAGGTGCAGGAACCCGCATACCACTGGAGCCCCTTGCCCTCCTCTGAGGATTTCAGCAACCCTGGTAAGGAATCTGCAGGCTCTCCCCTCTGACTAGTGTGCAGAACTGGGGAGAGCCAGCTAGCCTTTGTCTTTTACCCAAAGCACCCAGCCCAGATAATAAAAAGAGCTAACATTTGTTGAGGGCTTAGTTTATGCCAGGCATCTTCCTAAGCTCTCCTGCAGCCCTGTGAGATAGATACTGCTATCACCCCCACTTTACAGACACAGAAACCCAATACAGAGATTAAGAACCTTACCAAAAAGAAAAAAAGAAAAAAAAAAAAAGAACCTTGCCCGAAATCACACAGTAGCCTTGTGAAAGTTTTTTTTTTTTAAGATTTTATTCATTTATTCATGAGAGACACACAGAGAGAGGCAGAGACATAGGCAGAGAGAGAAGCAGGCTCCCTGCGGGGAGCCTGATGTGGGACCCAATCCCAGGACCCCGGGATCACTACCTGAGTCAAAGACAGACGCTCAATCAGTGAGCCACCCAGGCGTCCCTAGCCCTGGGGAAGTTACTCTTGGGTCACAGCTCGTAAGTGGCAGTTGAAAGATCAAAATGCAATGGCAGGGCAACAGAGCTCCCAGCCCAACCTATTGAGCATCCTGCTGTCCCCTCATATGGGAACCTGCTGTTTTATTGTTGCTTCTATCAGCATTAAAATATTTGCTGGGGGGCAGCCCGGGTGGCTCAGCGGTTTAGTGCCACCTTCAGCCCAGGGCCTGATCCTGGAGACCTGGGATTGAGTCCCACGTCAGACTCCCTGCATGGAGCCTGCTTCTCCCTCTGCCTGTGTCTCTACCTCTCTCTCTCTCTCTCTCTCTCTCATGAATAAATAAATAAAATCTTAAAATATATATATATTTGCTGGGAAGAAGCTCCTAGAATCCCAGAGATTGGGACTGGAAGGGCCCTAGCCTGTCCCAATTGTACAGATGGCCTCAGATCCTATGCTTTTGACTCTGGAGCTCAACTACCAGTTCATTTATACTGGAAGCTGCAGCTATTTACTACTGGTACTAGTACTACTACTGCTACTACTAGAATTATCATTATCATTTATCCGGAGGAAGCACCAAAAACTCCCGACATGGGGGCCCGCAGGACCGCGGGCGGTGGGGGCGTCCCCTGCCCTGTTGAGAGGGTGTTCGGTGCTGGGGCCTCCAACGCCCGGCGCGCCCCCTCTCCCGCCCCTCTCCCGGCCCGCAGACTGCTGGCTGCACGTGCGGCTGTTCTACCGCGCGGAGCTGGTGCAGGAAACCACCGCGCGCACCGCGGAGGGCTGTCGCCTGAGCCCTCGGGCAGTCACCGCGGCCGAGCGCCTGCTGGGGCCGCCGCCGCGCATCGCGCAGGTCCGCTTCCCCGAGCCGCCGCCCGGCGCCCACGTGCTGCGGCACTTGCTCCGGCACCTGGAGCGGGGCGTGCTGCTGTGGGTGGCCCCCGAGGGCGTGTTCGCCAAGCGCCTGTGCCGGGGCCGCGTGTACTGGCGCGGCCCGCTCGCCCCGCACCGCGCGCAGCCCAACAAGCTGGAGCGCGAGCGCACCTGCCAGCTGCTAGACACGCGCCGCTTCCTCGAGGGTAAGAGCGCGGCGGTGGGCCCGCTGGCAGCGTGGGACAGAGTGGCTGGGCACAAGGGGCGTGGGCAGAAGCCCGAGAGCAGAGGAGAGGGCGCACGCGAGATGTGAGGGCAGGCGAATGGGCTTATGGATTCTGGGCTTGTGGTGGACATCGAAACAAAGGCTGAGGCACACAAGCGCCGCGAGCGGGAACGAATATGGGCATCGGGGGACCTGGGCGCAGATATGGACATAGACTTATGGGGAGGGTAGGCACGGGGCAGGCTGGGGGCATTGGCTGTGCGGCATGAGCGTAAGACTTGAGCAGGTGCCTTGGTATAGGGCGCTAAGCCTAGGCTGGGCACTCAGGCACTGGGCACACCATAGGTATAGGTGGATGGCAATGGGCACAGGCTGATAGCATAGAAGCACAAGGCACAGGGCATGAGCACTGGAAGTAGGCACAGATATGGGACATGAGACAGGTATAGGGATGTGGAAGTGGGCACAGGGCACGGGCGCACAATGGGGATGTGGCCTTCCAGGACATGGGCATGGGATATAAGCACCAGGTGGGATTCCCAAGCCCCCAGTCTTGCTGCCTGTAGAATTGCGAGCCCACCTGCAGGATGGTGGCCAGGAGCCCGAGTACCAAATCCATCTATGCTTTGGTGAGGAGTACCCAGGGCCCCCAGACCAGCCGGAGGAGCGGCTCATCATGGCCCACGTGAGTCACCTCCCACTCCAGTGAAAAGCCACGCCTTCCAATCACCTGGAACAGCCCCTTACTGACTCCCTTCTGTCCTCATTTCCTGACTTGATGACCTTCTAGTCTGTAGGACCCTGCATGTAAAGTGTCTGTGGGGTGGGGAGACTGTCACCAGGGCTGTGACTTCCTATGGAAACCTAGGGGGTGCTGAGAGTTGACTTTTTGCACCCCACACCCTCACAGGTGGAGCCAGTCTTCGCCCGCCAGCTCTTCCTGGACTCCAAGCGCCACTATCGTGGTGCCCCAGCGTTGGCAAGTCCCCAGCTTAGCATGTCCGATGGTGTCACTCACCTGCTTACGGCGCAGCTGAATCAGCAATAAAGGATCACTTCCTCCTCTCCTACCATCTGAAGTCAGCCCTCCCACCCCGGGTGTGGATCCCACCCCAGAGCTGCCCAACTGCCAGTGGACTTGAGGCCACCCCCCCACACCCATCAGCCAGGTCTGTGGGGACAGTGGAAGCAGATCTGTGCCCTTCAACCTCTCAGCCGCAGAGGCAGAGACGCAGCCCTGGAACAAGGCGCGTAGGCGGACAGCATGCAGCTGGGCCTGGGAAGTCAGGAGGAAACCAAACTCAACCTTGAGGTTCCAGAAACAGCAATTAGGGCAGAAACAAAACTTCATTTCTTGTTGGGAGCCCAACAAGTCTGAGATGGTATACTTGAGAGCCTGCTTTACCTCCAACTGATTCATTATAAGGTTTGCTTAAAGCTGGTTTTACAGATAATTAGATCCTCAGGGATCAAAGTGAAACCACATAGTAACAGAATTGCCTGCCTCTGAGGGGATCTGAGTTTCCAGACCCTTCCTCCCACCTGTCACTAGTCTCCATTCTTATACGGCCAGGGAGGGGATCCCACAGCAGAAAACTTGGCCTGAACCGGGGTCTTTGGGGGCTGACAGCTGAACCACCAGTGCCAGTAGATACTGTGTTTAGAGAAACTGAGGCAAACCCCCAAGCACAGCCCTAAGGCAGAAGCGAAAGTAGGAAGTGGGGGTCCAGGCCCTCCCCAAACCCCAGTGAACTTTGCAAACTGCAAGTTGTAGGGAGTCCTTGAAAATTGGGAAGGAGCCCCTTCAATCATGAAAGCAATTGACCCTGCCTTGGCAGTAAAGTTACTGTTTCCTGCCCTGGATATCAGACCTTGTTCCCTCTTCTGATTTCTGACTTTCTTTATAGGGATTCTCCTACAGATGGCAACATAATAAATCTCTTTTAGTGATAGATTAATAAGTCTCTTTCTTGGGGCCAGGGAGGGGGGAAACTGTATGCTTTGACAAAGGACTGAGGTCAATCCAATCACTGTTTTTTATTCATTCAGCTAATGTTGATTGAGCACCTACTCAGTTCTGGGCCAGTGCTGGACAAAACAGCACGTCCCTGATCTCTTGGGGTTCATAGCCTGTTTTCCAGTAGGGATCCAGTGATGTCCTCTATCCCTGCAGCTCTTCTGTAGAAAAGGTGGTGTTAAGGAGTTACAGAATCCTGGGTTCATATCCCAGCTTTGTCACTCACTAGCTGTGTGACCTCAGGCAAGCCCCTTAAGCTTTCTGAGGCTTAGATTCCCCATCTATTCAAAAGAAGCCGTGAAGGCCTTTGGAACAATCTTGGTCCAAGGAGTAAATGCAGAGAGAGAAGATGAGTTGTCAGGAGGCTGACATGGAGAGGCACACAGTTGGTGTCCTTTCACTTGGTTTCTTATGGGTGGGAGAGCATGGAGCAGGCTACTCCATCCTTCAGAAGACCTGACTGTCCTAGGCTTCGCTGGCCTAAGGCTGCAGCTGGTGGGGAGCCTCAGTTCAGAGTGATATTCTTGAGTCATGTCCAAACCTCTACTCTGTGCTAGACCCTAGGAGAATGCTGGATGCTGTGTAAAGGGGCTGTTGCCTTCTCATCACAGCACGGACAGCTGAAGAGTCGCCAGCCCCAGTTTGGAGACGGAAAACTGAGGCTCAGACAGGGTCAGGGACTTGCTTCAAACCCCTCTTTGTGGGGGGAGAGGGAAATGTCTCTGCCCAGATGGTTGCCCTCCCCTCACCAGTCACTAGAGGGCGCCCAAGCTCAGCATACCGGTTTAGCGGTTCTCACCGCCTCCACAGCGAACATCCTGGAACATCTCAGAGCTAGCGTGACCCCAGGGGCTGTGCGCTGCTGGGAGGAGAAAGTAGACCCCGGGCCTGGAAGAAGGAGACCAAAAAGAGGAACTAGAGGCAGGGACCTGAGGATTCCTGGGGCTTTTCCCACCGGTGCCCCCAGTTCTCCAGCTCAGCTTTGAATCTTAGTCTCTCCCCCGTGGGTCTCTCTGTCTCTCTGCCTCCATCTCTTGTGTCTGGGCCTGCGTCTCTCTCGGGATCTGCCTCTTCCACTCTATCTCTGTAGACTGATTTCTTTCAGCGATCCCAACTTGTCTGTGCGGTGCGTGCGTGTGCGTGTCTGGCCACGTGTGTCTCTGTTCTTTCGGCCTCCTCTTCTCTCTATGTATGTCTCTGCCTCTGTCCTCGTTGTGTGTGCCACCGTTTCTCTTGTCATGTCTCGACCTCTGTGTCTTTCTCTCTGTTTTTAATTGCCTCTGTCTCTTTTTGTTTCTCTGTCTCTGTCTCACTCAGTTGCATGTCCTGTCCCTTGCAGCCACCACCTCCCAGCACACATCGCCGGGGGTCCCAGTCCCTTCCCTCTTACCTCCACCCCCCACCTCCCACAGCTGCTCACAGCTTCCCAGTCCTGGCCTCCCTGCCCGCCTCTCTCTCTCTCTCTCTCTCTCTCTCTCTCTCTGGCCTTGGGGGAGGGGGGCGAGGGAGGAAGGGAGGGCAGCCTGGTGGGCCCACCCCTTTTTGCCTTTCCAGGCTGGGAGGCTGGGCCAGTGGGCCTTTTAACCAGCCCGGGCAGGCTGTGCCGGACACCAGCTCTGGACGCCGAGCCTGGCCCCTCCGTGGTCCTGGCAGCTGCCAGCCCGGCCAGCCCGGCCAGCATGCAGCAGCAGCCCCTGCCCGGGCCCTTGGCCCCCGCGGCTGAGCCCACCAAGCCTCCCTACAGCTACATAGCTCTGATCGCCATGGCCATCCAGAGCTCACCAGGCCAGCGGGCCACACTCAGTGGCATCTACCGCTACATCATGGGCCGCTTCGCCTTCTACCGCCACAACCGGCCTGGCTGGCAGAACAGCATCCGCCACAACCTGTCACTCAATGAGTGCTTTGTCAAGGTGCCCCGCGATGACCGCAAGCCAGGCAAGGGCAGCTACTGGACGCTGGACCCCGACTGCCACGACATGTTTGAGCACGGCAGCTTCCTGCGCCGACGCCGACGCTTCACCCGGCGAGCAGGTGCCGAGGGAGCCAGGGGCCCTGCCAAGGCACGACGTGGACCCCTCAGAGGGAGCAGCCGGGATCCAGGAGTCCCCGATGCCATGACTGCCAGGCAGTGCCCATTCCCACCGGAGCTGCCAGAGCCCAAGGGCCTAAGCTTTGGGGGTCTGGTGGGGGCCTTGCCAGCTAGCATGTGCCCTGCGACCCCTGATGCCAGGCCTCGGCTGCCGACGGAGCCCAAAGAGATGCCCACACCTAAGCCTGCAGGCCCAGGGGAGCTCCCCGTGGCCCCCTCGTCTTCCCCATGCCCGGCATTTGGCTTTCCTGCTGGCTTCTCCGAGGCTGAGGGTTTTAGCAAGGCCCCCACACCCATCTTGACCCCAGAGGCGGGCATCGGGAGCAGCTACCAGTGCCGGCTGCAGGCACTGAATTTCTGCATGGGGACTGATCCAGGCCTTGAGCACCTCTTGGCCTCAGCAGCCCCCTCTCCTGCACCACCTACCCCTCCAGCCTCACTGCGGGCCCCGTTGCCCCTGCCAGCTGACCCCAAGGAACCCTGGGTTGCAGGCAGCTTCCCTGTCCAGGGAGGCTCCAGCTACCCTTTGGGGCTGACCCCCTGCCTATACCGGACACCAGGAATGTTCTTCTTTGAGTGAAGCTGGCCTGGCCTCGGACAGTCCCTGCAGGGCCCCTGCCAACTACACGCTTCAAGCTGAGCCTGACTCTAGGATTTGGGGAGTTCTCAAGGGACGCCAGCAATCAGGACAGGAAGCCAAGATTGGAGTAGTGAACACTCAGCCAGCCGGCCCCCAGGGCCTCCGGATGGACTTGAGGGAGAGGGGAGGCAGGGCCCCCTTGGGGTTGACTCTGTGGCTCTCAGGGCCAATAAAACCAGTGTGATGATGAGGGCCAGCTTCCTGGATGGTTGGGGGCTGAGGGCCGGGATGCCTGGTTCTGTGTGCGGTGGCTGTGGTTGTGGGATTGTGGGGCAGGGGCAGGGGCAGGGGACCCTGGAGGAAAATGTCCCACATGAGGCTTTCTCCTGCTGGGGACTTTCTCAGGGAGTTTCCCAAGAAGGTGGAGGAAGGGGGATCAGGGAATAGAGAAGAGAGAAAAGGGTGTAGCTAAGAAACACCAGGCAGGGGGCGAAGCTGGGCTGGCCTGAGGGGCTAATTCTCCAGCCCCAAGCTCTGTGACTCAGCACCCTCACCCCCCTTATGAGTGTTCATAATGTGACCGTCGGTGGCATTTATTTGGTCCTGGGCTTGTATATATACTTTCACCAAACTGTGCAATTTGTAATGTCATCCCCATTTTACGGTGGTAGAAACTGAGGCTCAGAGAGCCTGGGGCTCATTAGATCTGACTCCAGATGGCAGCAAATGTAGCCCCTGTCCTGCAGTCTGAGTGAGGATGCAGGGGATGCACGCAGGGTAGGAGCAGAGCTGGGGGTGACTCTAGAGTGGGAGGGGCTTTTATGGAATCCTGGAATGCCAGTACAAAAGAGTCACCCTGACCCCAAAGGCAGGCACCAGTCGCCTTGTCTGCATTTCCCACACGAATGGCGGACTTCCCTGAGTCCCCAGCTCTCCAAGGCCTCCTGATGACTCCTTAAGAAAGCATTTCTGTCATGGCGGGAGTGGGTGGCTATCCTGGGTACAGATCAGAAGTGACGGAGCCCTGACCTCTGGCCTCTTCTAGCCTCTCCCTTGGGCAGAAGCAGGAGAAATGAGTATATTCATGGCCCCCTTCAGAAGAACAGACCTCTGGAATCTCCCTGTCCCCCACACCCTTCAATACTAGAGTTGCTGAAGCAAAGCCCTTCCTTCTGGAGCCTCAGTACCCCCATCTGGATCCTGGCTATACAGAGAAAAGAAAGAGGTCAGGGATACTGGGGGAACCCCCTTTCTGGAGTTTGGTGTAAGGGCCTGCTGGGTCTTCTATCACCATAAAGCAACACCCCCGGGGCTGGAGACCCCTCGGTCCAGCAGGCTGCCCAGTCCATCCAAGGGCCTCACTCAGGCAGGCAGCCATGCTGATTGCAGCCTCTGCTGCTCCCTCCTCCCTCAGCAGGTCCCCTGGGGCCTGGGCGGAAGCAAGCCCGGCTGGACAGTCCCAACTGTCTGGTTCCCACAGACTCCAGAGCCGCCAGGGTGGAGGGGGGACCCGCAGGGTGGGGGCTCACTGTGGCCGGAAGGGGGTGAGAAGTGCCTGGCCAGCTGTAGGGCCCCTCCCCACCATGCACGCGGGACCCTAACCTGGAATCCATCTAGCAACGATGTGGGGACAAGAGAGGGTCTGTCCTGTCTCATCACATCTGGGAAGCCTGATGGGTGAAGAGGAGGGGGAAGTTCTGTGTGAGCGGGGCAGGCAGGGGTGGGGAGGAGGAGAAAGAGATGCTCGCTCATGTGGGTTGTTCCAAGGTGTATACCTCTGTGGGAGTATGGGTGTGTGCGATGCACAGAGACAAACAGTTACAGAGACAGGGACAAACAGATTCAGGGGAGTAAGTGTTCTTTCTTAGTTGGGTCAGGGAAAGAGGCCTCTGCCGGGCACTGTTCCCTGTGGTGCATTCCTGTGGAGACCTGGTGACCCCAGTCCCTTCCCAGCCTGTGTCCTGGGCTAGTAGGAGGATAGGGAGGCTGGCTGAACTGGGAGCCCGGGCCTCTGCCTCCTGCTCCAACCATCCTCAATGGAGCTGAGCCTCTGAACTGGGGTGGGGGCTTGGGGAAAAAAAAAAGCCATGTCTCACCCTTTGTCCCGGGGAAACGTGCAAAAAAGGGTCAACCACACCCTGGTGCATAGACTCAGCTATGGGAGCCCTCTCTCTGTGTCCCTTTCTGACCCCCCAACATGGTCAAGAAGTGAAGACAAGTTGCCTCAGCCCCAATTCCCAAACAGGACCCTGGGCTCAGTGCCTGCCTTGGCCTCGCTGTATGAGCCTGGATGAGTGCCCATCTCTCTGGGCCCTGATTTCACTCCCTTTGCCTAGCAGGGGTTGGGGAAAGGGCAGCCTGACTCTGAGTCTGGGTCCCAGGGGAGGGTCTGACATGGGGGACTGCCTGGAGGGGATCCCATCCCCAGAGGTGCTGGACTAGGGGCCCAGACACCATGATCTCATGTTGCCTTTTGCTTGCTGCCCAGCCTGAGGACCCCACCCACTGGGCCTCCTGCCCTCACATTCTTTCCATGACCAACAGACGCCCTGTGGCTCCTGCCTCGCCACCCCCACCTGGAGGGGTGGACAGTGCTTAGCAGAGATGCAGAATGCCTAAGCTGGACCGACCCAGAGAGAGCACGTCAGCAAAGATGGACACACCAAGCCCAGAGAAAGCAAGCAACGTGCCCAAGGTCACACAGCAAAGCAGGAGCAGGTAACTCCTCTGCTGCCTAAACTGTATGGCTCTTAGAGGGCAGGGACTGTCCCATCTGGCTCTGCCTCAGGGACCCTCTTCACTGGAGGCTTGTCTGTCTCCAGGAGGGGATCCAATCCCCCCCTCCTCCCCAGCAGGTTAGAGTGAAAAGGGTGCCAAGTTGTCTTATAGAGTCAGGCTAAATCAAATTCTAACATGATAAAATCAGGGGTATTTAAGAATATTCCAGAGTTCTTAATCACAGCAGTTTAGATTCTTGGAATATCAGAGCTGAAAGGGCACCTCCTGCCCAATTTCTGAATCCCCTCTACACCAGGGGTTCCAGGAAAGGGGAGCCCGCTGTCTTTAGAGGCCACCTCTTCCCACCCAAGTCTGGCAGCTCCGAAGGACTGTCAGCAAGTTCTTCACCTGCTGGTACTCTGGGCTCTGCTCTTCCTGCCCCCAGGGAGGCCACCCCCACCCTCAGACTCCTCCACCCTCCACATCTTATCTCCCGCCGCTCCCCCCCCCCCCCCCCCCCCCCCCCCCCGCCCACCCGCTTCCTTCCCCATTCCACTGCCCAGAGCTCAACACTCCCCACACCCAGACAGCCTGAGCCAGGGGCCTGGAGACCCTGTCCTGATGAGGGCGGGCCACTCAGAGGCAGCCTCGGTGATGAGGAAGAAGGGGGAGGTTGGGTCAGCCGGCCTGGCCTGTCTGCCTGTGGGGAGTGTATGGGACCTAGCAATCTAGTCTTCAGCCAAAACATCCTGTCTCCTGTCTCCTGTCTCCACACAGGCTCCTATCACCCCTGAAGGCCAAGCTGCCAGAGGCACCAGGTACAGCGGCTAGAAGAAGGAGCTCTGGAGCCCAACTGCCCACATTTAGACCCCAGCTCTGTGCCTTGCTAGCTGTATGACCTCGGGCAAGTGGCTTCCCTTCTCTGTGTTTTCCTCATCTGTAACCTATGGGCACTAACAATACCTATTCCTATGGGGTTGTTATGAGGATTACATGAATTCATATTTGCAAAGTGCTTGGAACCTGGTCTGGCACAAGGAAACTGCAATGCAGTTCTTAAATTTTTTTTTAAGATTTTATTTATTTATTCATGACAGACACTCACACACACACAGAGAGAGAGAGAGAATGGCAGAGACACAGGCAGAGGGAGAAGCAGGCTCCATGCAGGGAGCCTGCTTGGGCTCCAGGATCAGGCCCCGGGCTGAAGGTGGCATTAAGCCGCTGGGCCACCGGGGCTGCCCTAAATTTTTTTTTAAGATTGGGTCCCAGGGGCAGGTCCCCTGAACCCAATCTACCCCCAGGGGAAGGTCCAGTTCTTGTGGAGATGGGGGCATAGAGGGGAAGGGGAGACTCTTATAGAGACAGGCTTTGGGTTCAGTTCCTGGCATCTCCTCTTCCTTGCCATGTAACTTTGAGCACGTGGACTCACATCTCTGAGTATCGCTTTTTTCATCTGTAAAATGGGGGTAATGCGGGACGCCTGGGTGGCTCAGTGGTTAAGCGTCTGCTTTGGAGCCTGCTAATCCCTCTGCCTATGTCTCTGTTTCTCTCTCTGTGTGTGTCTCTCATGAATAAATAAATAAAATCTTTAAAAAAAATGGGGGTAATGTTTTCAACCCCCAGGACTGGTATATGGGAAACCTCATCCTACATACTATGTGTACAATTCAGCCAACAAGAATGAAATCAGAACATGAGACAACCCCACAGGGGGACCTGGTACCCTCAGCTCCGTTGCTCTGCTCCTTCCTTTGCAAGTGGCAAACCTCTGTCCCCGCACAGCCAGAGGCGCCTGATCCTTGTTCCCACCCCACTGGTAACTGGGTGGTGACAGGGTGGCTGGTGGGGCCAAAGGAAGTGGTTCCAGGCTAAAAACAGACCAGAGGCCCATTTAGTCACACAGCCAGAATCCTGCCTGGTGGCCCCTGGAAAGTCCAGGGCTGCCTCCTGACCACAGCCCTCAGGGAGCCCTGATCTGTCTTGGATACAAAGGAGAGGCTGACCCTCCTGCTCCCGAAGACAGCCAACTCCCTGGTGAGTGCTGTTTCCACCTCCTGGCCCTTGCACTAGCTGTCCCCTCCACCTGGAATGCTCCTCCCCACTGGCTGACTTCTCAACATCAGGAGGCCAAGTTAAATATCATCTACTCAGAGAAACCAGAGAAACCACCCCTCTCAACCCCTTATCTGATTAGATGCCTCCAGATTACTCTCCATCTCTGCATCCTATTTGTTTCCTCCACCAGGCACTTCCTGTAATGTGGGATTATGCATTTCTATGTGTGTTCACTTTTTATTGTTTCTGCCTTAGAATGTGAGCTTCAGGGAGCAGGGATTGGTCTGCCTTGTTCATTTTATTGATTTCCCTAACCCAGTGACTAGCACACAGAAGGCCCTCAATAAAGGTTTGCTGAGTGGACAAATGGGGTCATGGCCACCCTCCCATTCATCCATTCGCCATGGATTAAATCTCAGAGAAGCCCCCGGGGCTCCCTGGCCCGCTCAGAACAGAAGCCCAAGTCCTCTGGGA